AGCGGGCTGCCTTGGTGCAGTGGTGCTTATTTCTTAACCTAGTCCTAGATTCTGTAGGTGCCTCTAGATTGAGTACTAGCTGCAAGGACATCTAATAGTAGGTAATAGAATAATCATCACTAAGAACTGGGATGTTGATATAGGTGAGTAGAATCTTTTAATAAAGATAGTTATCTATGAAGGATGCATCTATATTCTAATAGGTGACTATAGCTATTAGATTCCATGGTTGCCTATGAGTTGAACTGCAATCACCTTATAAAGCTGGGAGACCTTAAAGGCTGGCTACCCTGCCATGAGGTGGCCTGGGAGTGTCTATTACCTGAAAATATAGCTTTTACTGAAAGTATTTCTAGTAGGAATACTATCTTAACTTGACTCTGTTCTGCGCAGAATGATTTTGGTGACTCTGACTCTATATAGAAAATAATAGTAGTCTCCTTTCTGGATGTGCTTAATCTAATTTATATTAAAAAGTGCCTTCCTCCCTAGCTTAGCCTATTCAGCCAGACTCTGCTCATCCATGCTATCTACTAATGGACTGTAGAGGTTGCTAACCAGAGCTACATGTGATTATCATTATAGAGCCCTATAGACAGTATATAAATAATAGCTCTATGGCCAGCTCTAGCTTAAGTAATGTGGCCTCTGTTAAGCAGCATCTTTATAAAATAGTATAATGCTGCCTATAACTTACTAGATATCCTGCACTGTATAGTGAATAGTTATGCTGCTAAATCATGCTGGGAAGAGCCTATTATCTTGTACCTGCATCTTGCTAGACTGATCCTCCTGTCTCTAATTATTTACTTTTAAACCCTAGCACAAGACCCACTACTGCGCACCTAGGGCGGGCCTTCTGTAAATACATCTTGCTAAGAAAGATTTGAGCACGCTCATAGTTAGGTATTCTAATGGGTAATTTAAGATTAGTTTAAGGCCTGGCTGTTAGTCATCCATGCTGGGGGGCTCTTCTATAGCATGTTTGTTAATTCAGCACTGATAATATCATTAAGCTATTCAGTATCTATATTGCAACCCTCCTTCTTTAGGCATACAGCCTATCCGCGTAAACAGTTAGAGTATAAAGTAATATGACTTACCAGGATGAAAGGGGTAACTATGCACCTTTATCAGGTCAAATCCCTGGTGGTCACTTACTGGCACATGAAGATAGTGCAGCAACTGATTAATCTGATGCAGAGCCATGTTTGATATATCTTGATTGACCTCTGGATGATGAGCTTGTGCAGATGTATATACACATTAGGGACAAGGTATCTGCTCACCTTAAAGGTGTTGGGGATATTACTAGTGATGGCGCGCTGCTGAAAATCCTCAAACAAGGATTTTACTTGCTTGCAGGGCAGAGGTACTGTGGGAGGGACAGCTCAAACAGCACAACTGGGGAGATAGTCTTTCATACCTGGGATATACAGCGATTGTACGCGACAACAATAAGTTGTTTGATTGAAGCAAGCTGAACCACCGATCTCACAGTCTACCGCGAGCAATATAGTCTTTTGTACCTACTATATATTCACAATCCCAATTTCACAATACCTCGTGGTGCTCCTTGGACTACTAGGTATTCCTTTCCTTCAAAGCAGAAGCCCCTAGAGCTCTGTCTAAGGCCTCCTAATCACTTCTCTCTGATAGGTTTTCCCTCCTTATTTCTTCATGCCAGTGTTTTGGATACATCACGTCATGTTACAAAAGGAGCGAAACTCCTCCATTGTGTATCGCCTGTCCATGGCCGCAGAGATTACGAGGTGGAAAGTTTAGTAGTCCACAGTCAACGCTCCTGGTGCATAAGATTTCGGGCTACCTAGAAAGTTCGTGTCACGAAATACCCAAGGACAGGAAAAGAGAGAAACACACAACATATTACCCTAGCAGACCTCTTTGCTCAGAACCCTCTTATTCCTCCTTTGACAGAGCCTGATCACCCTCGGTGTAGGCATCGACACCATACTTGGCGAACTTTCGAGCTGAGATCTTCCTAGCAAATAGGATATCCAACTCTTCAAATGTCTTGCCCTTCGTCTCGGGCAGGCGGAAGTACGTCCAAATGAAAAACAAAAAGGCCCAGCCAGCCCAGAAGAAACCAGTCTTCCCTTTCCAGTTTCCTGCTGTGGGGTTGAGCATGTAAGGATTGACGACGTTGCAGATAATCTGTGCGATGTAGTATGTAATTCGAGACAGGCAAACGGACTTGCTTCGGAGGCGGGTGGAAGAGGTTTCACTGATGATCGCGTAGCAGATGGGTCCTACTGTGAGATAATAGACGAAAAGCCAGATAAGCATCATCGTTGCTTGGGCGTAGTTCCCACCCACGGAATTCCCAGCCCCTACTGACACGAAGCCAACCACCATCAAGACTATTGTGAGAAGGCCCAGGCCCCAGAGGTACAGAGTACGGCGGCCAAACGTGTGCAAGAGATACCAGGAGATGATTGTTCCGACGGAGGCTAGGCCGAGTCCACCCACTGACATTTTGAATGAGATCGAGGTCGGCAGACCGGCTTGAACGAAGAAATACGTCGGAGTGCCACCCATGGCGGAGCCACAGAAAGGCTGTGCAGCAAATACCAGGCACACAATTTCGGTTCGGCGTCGATCAATCCCTCTGAAGCAATCCCAGAAGCTTGTACCTTGGTCGATCTGCTTCTCCAGCTCGTCGGTGTGAATCATCATCGCTATAGCTCGTGTGACTTCGCCACTGGCGTTGGAGTAACCGAGACGGACCATGCTTTTTTCAGCGGAGACATAATCCCCTTGTCTGACTAAATGCCAGGGTGACTCTGGCGCAAAGAACAAGACTAAGAAGAGTGGAATAGGCCATACCCACTGGATGGCAAAGGGCAGGCGATATCCCCATTGGGTGTCATTCCCAGAGAACGCAGACTGCACTCCAGCAGAAATAAGCTGGCCAATGGCCCAGCAAAGGTTCACATATACAGTGAGGTAGCCACGAAGGGCCATGGGGCAAATCTCCGAGGCATATGCAGGCGCCATGGTTGCGAAGACACCCCATGGAATACCGCAGAGGAATTCGCCGACCAGAAGAACGGGCAGGTTTGGTGCAAAGAAGGGAATGAATATAAAGGCAGTGATAGCTGCCAGACTGGCCAGTAACACCTTGCGGTATCCCAGGCGATGGGTGAAATATCCATTAGCGAAGGCGCCGATAATGGTACCCACAGAAACGGCGTTGCTGAGGCCATTCTGCCAGGACGCGGTAATCTGGTAGCTGTTGCTGCTGGGAATGTATTCGCCGTAGTGTCGGGAGAAGGCCGGCTGGGCAAAGAAAGAGGACATAAGGACGATGTCGTAGCCCTCCATAATGATTGAGGTCGACAGTAGAATCGACCACATGACGGCCTTGGGATGCTTGCGCAGGGCGCGGGCGAAAGTCAACTGGTGTTCCTCTTGAGCTGCCTGTTTCGCGAGCTCGTCAGATTTGACAGGCTCTTCGATGAGCCCGTCCTCCACGTGGGCCACAGCGTCGACTTCCTTGTCATCTCTGAAGCTCATATTGGATCGGCGTCCTCGAGGAGACTCCCGACAGGGCAAGGCGATTGGAAGGAAGTAAAGAAAGAAGGTGGAAGTATGACCGATAGCCAACCTCTTTGCAAGGTGTCAGGTCACGCGAGTTGAGAGCAGACCAGTGTCGGTCAGTTTCTTTCTCGTTTATGTACTCTCAGAGCGGAGGGACAACGTCAGGGGGAGAAATAGTCTCACACTTGTATCATCCAGGGCATGCTTCAGATCGGGACCCCCTACACCTCGTTTGCGGAACATGGTAGGCTAGAGCGGAGATCAAAAGCTGGGGTAAAATAAAACAATCAACTGATTGGCAAATTAGCCGTGTCCTGTTTTTCTTCTTTGCATATTCGGTCCTCTAATTCAACCCCGCCGGAAAGTCTGTGTCTGATTGATGGTTGCCGGGCCCCGACGGGGTAATCCATTGGGTGATTGTCTTGGGGCAGGAAGAGGGTGCTATGAGTGTACGGCGGACATCTCACCACCGTCACCCTCCCTACAGTCGCACGCACTGCACTGATATCAGGATTAATACCATATAGTAAGGATATTGAGTTATCATATAGTATCAGTATCAAATCGTCATATAGTCAGGTTACCGTAGTTCTAGTTTAAGTCCGAAGTCGGTTAGATTTTAACAGAAAATACCCCAGCTACGTAGAAAATAAATGCCCCCTCGCGAAGATCTGAATAATCAACGCTTTCTTAAAACACAGTGGCAGGCTTTGAATCCCGCCTCTAACTCAGTCCCTCGCATAGAACGGCCAGGCTAGACTGGCTTACCCAATCCACACTTTAGGTTGGATATAGGCAGGCCGCAGGCCCTAATTCAACCCATAACTAAATGGGTTACCCATACCCAATCTACATGGATATAGATAACCTATTAGATGCACATGATCTAAGGTCTCTTAGAACTAATAGGCTTATCTAACCATATCTAGGGCTAGATAGGTATATATTTTTATATAGATAGATAGAAAATAATTATATATATCTATATATAAGATAAAATATTAGATTTACTAAGACAAATTAGAGTTGTAGTAGATTTTATGTTTTAGATAATAGTGTAATGTGGATATATAGAACTCTACACCACTTTTTATACTAAGCTTAGGTCATCACTTTTACTCCCTATATTTCCTCATTGAACTCATACCCCCTGAAAATACATCAATTCTCATTTCGCGACCTGTATATGCAGGTTATCCTATTCAAACTGAAATGTGAACCTAAACTGAGCACATGGAAGAGTTTGAGACGCCTTCACTTCTATTTCCTATCAACAAGCACTTGCTCCTTCAAAAACTCTTTATGATTTAACCAAGACTTTTTAAAGAGCTGCAAGTCAGTGGAGACCATTGACAACCATAGAAATCCTCATATAAACTAGACGACGCATCTACTCTTCAAAGGTCCTGTTACCGGATTTCAGTGATCAGCAAACCTTTTTAAACCTTCGCGGTTGTCTGCATCTGCTGCACCGTCTTACTCAAAGAGGTAGAGTCCCCCTCTCCGCTATTAAGCATGTTCATCCTCTCCTCTATCTTGTTGTACTTCCCGAAGGCGAGCAGGAACAAGACGGCTGTGATGAGCATAACGCCGCTCAACGAGGCGTATTCTATGAGAACCTTAGGGTCTTTTGAGACGGGTGAGAGTGTGATGCCCAGCATCGAGCCGATGGTGCAGGTGAGGAGGAAGAGAGATGATATTATGCTACGCATGGACTTAGGGGCTTTGGTGTATGCGTACTCCATGCCGGCGACGTACGCAAGGACTTCGGAAAGGGCGGTCATTGTGTAGACGGGGACTTGCAGGAAAACGCTAACCTGTGTTTTTTTGTTAGTCCCTCGCTGGGATGAGCAAGAATGGTTGAAAGAAAGTCTCTTACATCATTTGGTGTTCTTCCACCGTTGCTGCAATATCCGCTGAGGGGATGGTTGTAGCATGGAGGTGATCGGTAAATCACTGCGACCTGGGTCAGCAGGCCTTGGAAGAGAGAGTTGAAACATTATACTGCTAACATTCTTGAATCCCTGCGGAATATCCAATGGCACAGGTCATCACCAGGAAACCGGCGGTGATTCGACTGATCGGTTTAAAGCTGAGGCGAAATCGTCGCAGGGTTGGGTAGACGATTTTTTCCCTAGAGAATGTCTTAGTTTGCACGTCTAAAATGAAATATAAGACAGCCTAGAGGTATGCGTACATGGTTGGAAGAAAGGTCAAAACCATGATTGGATTAAAGCATCCCACTATAGGCCTCAATTAGAGCTCTCATAACGCGTGAGGACCCCCGGTTGCAATACTTATGTCATTCGGAATTCCATAGGTTTTCATGGTTGCTGCCTGGCTAACCAGGTTGCTATTGGTCTGTCCGTAGCAAACCCAGAAAATGGGACTGCAATCCAGCTTAGTCTGCTGCAATCCAAGTCTTTGATGGGCAGCTGAGACTTACAACACACAGCTGACAAAAGGCGTGAAAATTGTCAGTGCGCAAATATCAGAAGTCTCATGTCACTTCAGGTAACTCACAAAATAGAACATGCGATGAGTGCTCGTTTCAATTCCTCAACAAATACATCGTCCCAGGGAACGGTAGTTGCAGGGTGAGTTTGTGCCATGACTGACGGCTTTGCAGCATCGAGATTGCAGCCTCTCTTGAGACCGAGCCAGAAGACTCGCATTGCTTGGATTAGAACTGAGCCACTTGGATTCTGGACAACTACAAATAACCAGTAAGTAACAACAATTGCGTGAATGATGGAAGGTAGATTTGTCGCTTACCATATCTTCCTCGGCCCATGGCCAATGCGCCGACTGGTAAGACCCAGAAGCAGAGCGGTAGGAGGAATGCAGCCCAGAATGAAACTTTCAACTCTAGCCACTGAATCGGTTGTCCGTCAGTACATTAGGATAAAATACGACATGGATGCACCCACAGACGCCGGTATCACGGAGAGTGAGCCAATATTGATAACCCTTAGACGAGGTGAGTGTGTTGTTTTCGTAAACCGCGATCAATGGCTACTGACCAGTAGTAACGACCATAAATAGTCTGAATTGTGACGTTAGGATCTACAATGACCTTTTCTCCGCTTGCCAGTGTCTTGATCCGGAGAGGTTTCCTCGTGTACTGCTCAGCGATTAGAGGAGCAACATTGCTCTTGATCCCTCCAAAGCTATAACAGAAAGTCGGCATGATGAGTTATTAAAATCTTGAATCATCAAGAAGCACTGACCCCAAACCAATCAAGACCAATGCAACTATGAGGCCCGGTAGACCAGCACCGTGCTCAAGACTTGCAGGGAAAGAAGTGACGCAAAGAATCAAGACACCACAACTCGCGACTCTGTTATGTTTGTCAGATATGTTCTCCTCCGTATGGCTACTTGTAAACGGTGACCTAATTATCCCGTCCCTAGACAAATTGTCCAAAACCGGCCAAGCAAGCTGTCTGCTATGACAGCGCCCAGAATAGGCGCCATATAGCACCAGCCGGTGAAGAAGTAGTTGATACCAGTTGCAACTCCTTGTCCCTATTGAGCGCGTGTCAGTGTTCAAAGCTGCTCTCTTTTGAAGCTGCCGTTCCACAGCCATGTCCAAATACTTACCATACCCAAAGCTCCTGGTCGTAATGGGTCATTGTGAACGTTTTCTATATAGTTCTCTATATAGGTTCAGTTATTGTTATTGCTTTCGTCAGAGATTCGTCAAGTAAAGAGCTTACGCATAGGAGCCGTGATGCATCGGTAGGTGAAACGCTCGGCTAGCTCTGCCACGGCAACTAAGAATATTGTCGGGGGGATCTTATCGCAGACACGTCTGAGATTTTCCTCTTCCCATTCTGTGGGCGGGGGAAGCTCATTATCATCGCGTCTCCCTTCTAAGACGGCCATGATCCGAGTATGATTTCGTCCTTGTTGCTCTGATCACTTGGATGTTCAGGTGCACAATGAAGGCCGCAAAAAATCATCGTACAAAGGGAGAACAGCCACCAGTGAACCAGAAAAACAGCAGCAGGAGACTGACTGAGCCAGGTAGCGAGTACAACGAGCACGGACTACTATGAGTCAAGGGATTTGTCCTGCCTCCTGATTGGCTGGCGCTGATAGTGGGCGGGTGCGGGTGCTCCCATCTCCAAAGTGCGTGCCTCAGATCATAATAATCGCTTCTTTTCTTCCACAAAAAATTCGCGCAGGCGTGTTGTATCACATCATAAGAGGGAGTACTCTAACTTAAAACATCACCTTCTCTAATGTTCCAGACAACTTTCGGACCGCGTGATTATTGGCCAACTACCTGCTTAGAGACCTCCCAACGGCAATTCGGCTCCACTGGATAGGTCACCACATTCTATACAAAACCAGTAGTATTGAATTCCCTCGTTATAGAAAGTTCGATGCGAGCATCTACACCCATCTTGGCCGGAGTTTCTAGCAATGGTGGGAGCAGGTATTTTATCATTTGAGGTTTGTGAAGCCATCACATTGGACATAGGTGCACGCTAACACATTAATAGTATAGTCTACCTACAATGTGGATTTCATTGTCCAGGTCAGCGACGCAGTCATTGGGTTCTATATAGTCATAATCACATGTCATATTCCAGATTAGGATCACTAACCAATCTTTCACATTGGCTAGTGAAACGACGTCTCTTCGCAGCAGTATTCTTGACTATTACTATGAGAATGGACGGCGATATTGCAATATAAAGTCGAGAACACAAAGAACATTGTGAGACTCAGATGCAATGGATCATCTTGATTTAGGGTAAGTTCCGCTAGAATGCGCTGGATTTGTAAAACAACACTTTCCCAAATAGATGCAGCTTAAGCGAAGGCAGCTCAGATTCGAACGCCACAAACACTCAGCCGCCCTAACAGCATGCGGAGAATCGCAGCCTATTGGATAAGGGGTAAATTTTCGGGTCACAGTGAATGGCACGGGCCAAACCATTCTTGTCAAAAGCTTATCTGCAGCAATGCCCAACTAGCTAGCTCCCTTTGCTGAGCAGCTTAATCAAAACAAGCCGTCAAGCTTGCTGCTTGACAGTGCGCCCATTGGTGTGGCATGCAATAACCCCAACCAGAGCGGTTATCAATAAATGTCGAGGCTGGTGTTTAGGTTGCAGGAAGGTACTTATACTAGATCGATCGCCGCTCGGAGATTCTCAATTGACTCTTATATTTTCCCATATATCAACATAATCCATAATGTTCTCCGGAGCAACACTCGCAGCGTTTATGGCAGCAGGTGCTGCTACTCTGGCGCTCGCTCAAACCAACATCACAGCTGATGTCTGCGCAGACCCCTCCACCTTTACCAGCTGCACAACGAAAGCAGTCGCGGATAGCAAGGCATGCATGGATGTTTGCAACCAAAACAAGCTCTGTGTTCTGAGCTGTGGATGCGCCATGTACCAGGCTTACATGAACTGCGTCGGCGAGTCGTGCTGGAATCAGGTACGTTTCCTCTTCTTTCCTCATGCATATGTCTAATCACTTGATGCAGGCGTACTCGTGTGAATACGGCAAACTGGTAGCAATGTACTTTGCCGAATGTCCCACGGCCTCCGAGCCGATCCCTTTCTGGCCTGCGCCCGATAACGCTCCCAGCGGCTGCTCGTGTAACCTCGGCAAGGTGCTGCAGGCGACACTCAACGCATTGAAGGAGAACAATGAATGCTTGACTAACAAGACCACAACGAACGTCATTGAACTGAGCAAGAAGTATACTGCATGTGGGTGCTGCGAGGTCAGCGCCGGGTTGTCAGCGTACGTCGCCAATTGCCTGTCCTCACCATAGTTACTGACAAAAGGGGACAGGATGTACGAGACCTGCCCCGACACTATCCCCGCCGACATGGGCGCAGACCTCTGGCTTAAAGTCTCTACCATATACGGCGCCGTCATCCACTGGGGCTCGTGCGGCAGTGTGATGGATGCATACGACTGTGGAAACCTGGGCTTTGCGCCGTCGTCATCCAACTCGAGCACGTTCTACAAGCCGGGCAACCTGCCCCCGAATGGTACGCAAACGCTGTATAATACTGGCGCGGCGAATGCGCTTCCTGCCCCGCCGAGCGGATCGGTGTTCACCTGGTCACAGTCCAGCGTCACGTACACCGTGACGGCGTCGCCGTGGAAGAATAACCAGGTCAAGGTGACTGGGACCGGTAATGCAGGGACTTCCGGGGCGACCGGTGCTGCTGCAACCGGGTCCGCGAAGAGTGGAGCGACTGCGTTGAGGCAGCTGTCGCTGGGGAATCCCGCTGTCTGGATCCCGGCGATGGCTGCCGTCGCTAAACTTGTGCTGCGTCAATAGATTCGCCGACACGCTGGAGTTGTTCCAAGAATGTACGCGTAGTGGCAGTGGCACGTTCAATATCTACCTAGTGTCTATCATTCCTTCTACCATTACCCCGAATTCAGGCGACAGGTCCAGTTACAAATGCGCCAGAACTGCATCCGCACCGGAAAACTGCCGCGATTAGAAACCTTCCATCCCCTAAACCGAAGGACAACATACCTTGACAACCCCTTCTCCGTCTCAATCTGCGCATACGTCGCCTTCTCATAGTTAGGCTCTTGACACGGCACGTCGGCGGCAACGGATCACGGTTGACGAATTTTCCGAAGTAAATAATTCATGACGGGTCATTGCAACCGCGTAAGGAATCCTTTTGATCGCGTCTATATTATTCCTTATATTTATATACGGTTACTCCGATGAATATTACTGATTGTTGGTAAATGCTGTCATAATTTGAGATGAAGAGCTTAGAAATGCCTTATATGGATTGATTTTTAACATAGACCTAAATCTAGCCATCCTGAAGCTAACTTAGGGGACGAAAATATAAACATATAATGTATCTGAGGCCAAGTCTCTTAAAAGGATATGATAGCCAGTTGTTCTAGAGATGGTATGGAGGTTCTGCGCCCTTAACTGTAATGTAGATGGCTGTAATAGCCTCAGTGAGCTCGGAAGGGAGGGGTCCATCCTTAAATGCGTTAAGAGTCTTGTGGAGCTGGTCTATATTTGAAACCGCAAAGATCATTCCATCACCGTACTTTCCATCCAAGGCACTATGGAACGCAGTCCATCGCACAGCAGCCGCGTGTCCGCTGATACCATGTTTCTCAGCAACTTCTCGAACCACGGCGGAGGCCTGAATGGTGGTTTGACTATAAAGGGCACTGTACAGCTTTCCGATGGGATTCTAGAATATTGTTAGGATTATCTGGAGGTAAACGCTTTGGGAACTTACATCGGTACTCTATCTTGCCGCGTTGTTAGCACTACCTGAGAAAAGACCACTGGCTGCAGGACCAATGCAAATGTTAGTCTAAATCTAGAAATGGGCCCCATATCGGCGTACCTATAGGCAAAAAAGGTGATGTTATGTTCACGCAGCAGTGGAAATAGCTCCTTCTCACCTCCTCTTATAATCGTGTTATAGTGTCCTTGATACACGCTGGGTTTGATGTAGCCCTTTTCTTCGCAAAATTGATAAACTTCTGCACTTCCGCGGCAGTGCAATTGGACAATCCGAATTTCTTGAATTTTCCTTGTTGGAAGGCGTCATTCATTGCTTTTGCTGTGTCCTTGAATGGCGTTTGCCGATCAGGCACATGTAGAAACTTTGTCTCCACAGCGGAAGTCTTGAGGGCATCAAGCGATTGTCTAATGCTTAAATCAATTTTGGCACCTTTGTCTCCTGAACTACGCGAATTGGCGAGACGTTCCAGGGTCTCGCACTAAGGACCGCTCGCCATCTCGGTTACTGTCACCTGCTTGTATTATCCATAGCCCCTACTTCCACAAAGATGCAATCACAAAATGAATCCTTAGTGACTGTATCAAATTCTCATATAGTAGAGATTTCAAATGATTCGAATCATCTAGTAGGGATATCAATATCTCTACTAGATGTCATTCGATATTGATATTATGTGGTGTTTTAATACCTAGTGGCTGCGGAGATATAAGGGAATAATCATTTCTATCAAGGAGTTGATATGAAGGTGGTGATGATATATATATGCATATTAACCTTTGATAACCACCATTTGACCATGGTTCAAGAATAATTCCTAACCGTCACCTATTCAACCCCCTAGATATTGAATCAACATTTTATATATAGATTAAATAACTATAACTACTGTATATTTCATATAAAAATATTAAATTTTCTATAAGCATGCTGGATAGGCCTTAGGTAGGTGGTGTGTGTGTGGCAGCAGCGGCAGCAGTGGAGTGAGAGGTAATTATAGTAAAAAAAATATTTAGCTGGTTTGTGCAAATAGTCTGTCACAGTAGCAGCTTAAGAGTATCAGATAGTATTTGCCAGGGAGATCTGAATAGTGCTTACTCAGTGGCCACCTTGTTTTGTATACTTGATAGTAGCTTAGTCTGGGAATCTGCATTCTCTGTGATAAAGCACCCTGAAGCAGTAAAGTTCCTGAGTGACTATACCTAGTTAGTATAGAAGCTTTGCTATAAGAAATCTTCACTGTAGTACCCACTATGGCATGAGGAGTAATAGGAGGCCTGTACTAATTTTTCTTACACCACGATATGAAATGGCAAGCCCATGGATGTCTCGTACTAGGGGTAGGAGTAGGACGACCCCGCTTGAGCTTCCAATGCTCTGGGTCACATGGCCGTCAACTCCTAGGTAGAGGACGACATTATTGGTGCTGAGCAAGCATTACCCAAGTCTGAGTGCATCTTTAGGCTTGTTTATTGTTTCCTACCAACTCCTCATTTGAAAAGTTAGTGCAAAATTAAGAAGCTGTGAGCATGTTTACAACTGACTATTTTGAATAACAGAACCAATTCACCTAAGAGCTAGAGACATAATAATAGTTGGAGCTTGTGTCAAGCCTCATGAAGGCTTTATATTACCCACATTCTGCTTTAACTATTTATTAACTGCTTTTTGGGTCTCTTCCTCCTCTCATTTATCTTTTACTTGACAGTACCTGAATTTACCCGCGCAAGTACTTTCAAAGACTCATCTATCAGTGATGAATTAGGCTCATTCTCATAATTCACATTCCATAATTGAGCTACAATAATGCCAAGCAGTAGGTGCGGACATGTGCTCACACAGCCACACAGCCAACCTCAACACACCACGGATAATGGTTGCCCGTGGCTGCATTCAACTCTCCTTGATTGGATAATAACCCTGTCGACAGGGTCATCTGGCAAAGCCTCGCTCCGTGGCCGCTTTCTAGCAGTTGTCTGCCATGTTAAATAAATCCTGCACTGGAGATAATTTCTGAGCCTCCCCTCGGAATGCTACTTTTGATGTAACCTGTGTCCAGCCTGACCGTTACATCTTCAGCTTCTTACTATTGATCATATTATAACACTATGGAACTTGCATTCAACGTCACTGGCCCTGGCCCGCTCAGTCAGGTAGGAGTTCATATCCTCAGCTTGGATACCGCCGTCAATTTGGCTACTGGGGCGATTGGATGGTGGAAGTCGCGCAGCCGATCCCTTTCTCTAGTGGAGTCCATCTCAGCTAGCAAAGCGTCACTAGTATGCAGCAGTAGTTTCAACGTCGTCAGTTATCGAGACCGGAGAAGTCAGACAGGACGTGTAAGGGGACTTGCTGTTCAGAATAATGAGCTCAGTGCCATTCCAGGGAGTATAATGCAGACTGCTGTCTCGAATGACCCAGGGCTCGACTGTCTCAGGGCGCTTACAACGGGTCTCCTGGTCTTTTATGACGTCCAGAAAGTTACGACCATTCTTGCAGATGTCGTTCCCTTTGGCATGCTTCAGCCGGATCATGACGATGGAATGCCTGAGTTTGCAGGGCCTCTCCTCTCTAGTCTTCGGGACTGGGTGGCTTCTGTCGCGGCGGAGGAGGACTGCAATACCTATCGATCTCATCTGTTGGATTTGGCTTCGACAGCCCAGGATAAGCTGATAGGAATGGGAATACCGCGCAGTGCGATCTTAGATCACAGTGCTGATGACACCAACCATCTTCTCGGAGCTTTGAGGTGGATGGTGACACCACGCCATAGGCGCGATGTAACAAACTATCCTACTCGCTCTCTCTACGTTTGGAGGACAGCCGTTGTCATGGCAGAGCTCGCGTTTGACATCTCTGCATCCTCGGAACTAATCCAGACGGAGACTCAGTATCAGGAATTTATAAACAACACTACAGACTTCAGCCACTACTCTGACATCGCTCTCGTTACCACTTCTGTTGGCGATACCGACCCCTGGATGCTTCAGCAGGTACACATGGAGTCGCTTCGGCTACGGCCGCAGGTGACACCAATCCGCAGTATACCCCATAGTGTGTTTGGCCACGTGGGCCTGGAAGCTGGAAATGTCGAACCGGAAGAGCTCGTTGAAATATGGAACATCTCCTTCCGTTACGCCAAGGCCGCCGTGGGCGCTCCCTCATTAACACGTGGGGGGAACGTCCTCCTTCCTGCTGGCAGTGACATGGAGCTAGTACGAGAAAGCCATAAGCACCTTGTTGGCATTTGGTCGCCGCATATGGCACGGATCCTCCGCCCTGCGATGGAGTTATATATCCCCGCATCTTCCCGAGATCCAGCTTGGTCCCAGACAGAGATCTTAGCGTACCTGGAGCGTCAGAGGAGCGGTGATCCAGAAACTACTCTTAATGACCATGATGTGAGGAACAATGTATTGAAATTATCAGCAATTCTTCTCGGCTCTATATACGGGGCCTGCTTCCAATCATTGAATCCAATGGTAGCCGCCAACGGAAGAGAGGGAAGAGACGCTGCTTCATCCGAGTTCCTGGAAGTTGCATTTTCCCCAGAGAGAATCATTGAAGACAAGCTGTTCCGATGGACAGCGACTCTAGGCCTCGCTCTGGGCGGTCTTCTGGAATCGAGCAGGTGGACCGGTCTTCTCCTTGAACTCACTACAGGTGTTGAGCACCCGAAGCCTTTGGACGAACAGCCTTCTGCGGGACTCTTGGGCCGTCGGCTGAACCTCACATCTGCTCAATCCGGTGTCATAAACGAGTCTCACGTGAGAGTGTCTGACATCTTCGGGTGCCAAGCAAACGGAGTTTTCGCAATATCCGAATTCATCGTTCGACCGTCAACAGACGCAAGCAGCTCTCTGAAGTTCCACGTCGGCACAGGCCGTATACTGAACCTCCCAGTTGACGAGTCAGGTTACGTCCGGGAATCTCCCATAAGCGCCTCCGCCCTAGAGCTGCCCATAGACCCTTCCCCCAGCTTAGAGATGCTGTCAAGACAAAGTGGTGCCTCTAGCACGCCCAACGACTTCCGGATTGATGCAGAGCCGCATTGGGACGTGAACGCGCAAAATATATGCTTTGTGATTCGCAGTGCAGGAGTTGTAGTTTCCACCTTGAGGATATCGTTGGTCTTGGAGCGATTACTCAACCAAGTTGTCTCGTGTAAATGCGGAGAGCCACAGAGTTCAGTGCGAGTTCCACTTTCCGAGAGATGGCAGGCGGTTACAGTCTACCAGATACTTCGGCCCAGTTACCCCGGTGGGTCTCGATTGAGTGCATACATCAGAGACGAGGACAAAATTATGGTGGACGTTGAAGGCGACGAGGTGAAGCGGATTCTTGTGGTGGGGTCGTTGAGGTGTCGCAAGGTTATACTATGTCCGGATTGCGTGCGCTGCGCATATGACAATATTAAAAACAGGGAAAAGAGGGAGAGCGTGGCTTTAATTGTTGGGTAATAGCTGAGCTGCAGGCTGCATAGTTATGTGACTGCGAGTACGACCAGGAATTGAATGCGGGCCATCAATATGCATGGGTCCCTAATCACTGTATGCATACAGGCCTAAGGCTGCTACTGGTATGCCTTGTCAGACAATTCAATACTAGGTCAGAAAAGCTAGGGAGCATGGCTATGATCCAGAGATAGATGCATCTATCTTACTAGTATATATGAAGGACAGCAAGCATATAGGCCACCTAAAGGAGATTACGGAAGTAACTAGACAAGCTGTTCTTAAATCTATTGTAAGGTTAAAATAGGTATAAGGAATCTTCTAAAATTCTAGTATTTGAAGCTGGTATCACTTGGTGTAGCCTTCGCCATTGATAGTAGGTGTTCTGGATCCCCATGGTAAATGTTACTGCTATGGATCATTGTACGTGAAGCCAAAATTTTCTCAAGATATCCTGATCATTCTAGCTAGCTCTTTCGGCAGGAATGCCATGGTCAAACTACAAAGATCCTCTGGTCATATTGCCTATCATCAGGAGTGGGATAGATTCCTTAAAGCTTTAACAAACCGCTCGCTGATATTTCGACCAAGTTTGACAAGTTTTTAACGACATTGATTGGGAACGGGGCAATAGCATAATAACATGAGTATGACCCAAGATTTCAACAATGCATACACAAAATAAGGCACTTCATCGGACACAGCGCTTGATAGATGTATCTCGGTATATCTTTATGCAGTATCAAAGTCATAGATAAGCTTCGCCTTGCAGTCCTTCACTGGGGTCCATCACTGGTGGTTTCATGATAGAACGATCGCCGGTGGACCAAATATGGGTGGACTTCATCACCTTCAACTTCCAAAGGTCGTCCGCCTTGACAGCGTGGCAGTGTAGAATGCGCCAGTGGTGAACTTCGTAGAGTCCGGCTCATAGCCCTTGCCGAGTACGCAGTGCAAAGCCTGAGCATTGAAGGTGACGCGGGCAGTGGTTTCGGTGTCAATGCCCACACACATGTTGGTGAGGTAGTGGATCGTGTCGACCCGCTGGCTGACATTCATCCACACCTTGTTCTTGAGCTCGTCATAGCCGTTGCAGACTTTGAAGGCGATGTCGGTGTAGACGTCGGGCGTCACGCTCGACCTGAGAAGCTCCTCGCTGGACTGGTCGATGGACAGGAAAGCGCGGTAGCAGGCATCAGTGATGGCATCACGGTCGCTCAGAGGCGGACCAGCCAGCTTGGCGGGAAGGGGCGTGCCGTTTTGCACCATGGTTTTTTTCTGTGGTGGATTCGTGGGAAAGCTACCTGTAGGTTTCGATGTTGATGGTGTTGAGGAGTTGAGTTGTCGATGCTGCTTGCTAGAGCTGGACACATTCGCCTACTATATCGCAGTCACTCGGGTCAGACGGAGCATACAAAGCGCACCATGGAACACCATCCAGAATTCATAGTATTTCCGTGGGATCAGCGCTCGCAGATCGATATCCCGCAAGGCTAAGCCAAAGCCGGCTTCATCTAACCAATCACGCTGACACAAGGGACATTGATCGTCCCTGTCGGACAATCAATCTCCCTTGTGTCAGCATCAACAGCGAATGACAGCCCCGCGGAGCTTGAAGATCCCCTGATGCGCGAATGATAAACTATGCCCCGCAAGGCATAACGCAGGGAGTATATCCGCTCGTTTTTAGTCTCTTTTTGTCTCTTTCTCTCTTTCGTCCTGCGCTGGACCGCAGCCAAGTCAAGACGGGGAGTGAGACGACTATATACTACTGCTGACAGGGGCGCAGAGAGGCCGATGAAACCGAAAGGGTCAGAAGCTAAGCTGGCTCAAGCTCCACCGTACGTAGCCGTCCGATATAGACGTGGTATCAGGTGTTGCTGTGTCAGACCTGCACTCCATACGCTCCACCACTCATGCTGCGCCCTCGAAGCGGAAACCCTGTCGCCTGCACGTGTACATTAGTTGGTTCCCGATCGAATGGAACATCGGCCTGGGCTGAAATGGACAGCCGTTGAGGTTGCACGGCATAGCCTTACAGAAGGCCAAATCAACTCAAGCAACTTCAGGGACCAAACGATTGTCAGTTGTGGATTGTGGCTCGGAGATGTTCGGCAGAAGGGAAATTCCTCATATGATCAGATGTGAATATGAATATGACAACGGACTGACGACTCAATGCCCTCCAACACCTTGGATATTGAATACGGCCTTAACAGGGGCTCGTACAGCCAGGAGGATTCTTTCTTGATACAGTCGACACGATGATTGAGCCCCTTTTTGACAGACAGCCTGCTATAAGTTGGTCGATTAACATTTCGGAATACACTGCTATCATACATGACCATTCCCCCATGCTGTTGGTACTATACCTATTTGTATTGGTCAAAAAATAATTAATGACACGTGCGTATCATCATAGTACCCTGAAGGAGATGATATTAGGTAATGAGCATGTGTTACTGTGACAACAACGTGGCAATGGGCAACTCACTTTATTGCGGAGCGAAGCGAAGCATGTCTTATTGCATGCCCTTTGAGCTTTTTTCTTGGCGCTCAATCTGATTGGTCCACTTTCTAGCCTTCTAATTAGCTCTTGAAACTTGATGTCACGTGCCCTCAGAGCTCCTGCATGTATCGGGGGTAGACTGGCTGTGGGGTGGATATGGGTTGATCCACAGCATGTCTGATCCAACCCATGTGGATTTTGGGTAAACCACTAGGTATCTCACCCACCCCCTATATCCATGGGGTTCAACTGTGGATTAGAGTGGTTAAACCCAACCCAAGAACCCGAACCCAAACCGGCCCGAACCCGCCATGGGCCGGGTTCGGGTTCAGGTTCTAGGGCCCATGGGCCGGTTGGGTTCTAGAATTAGAACCCATCTAGGGTTCAGGTTCTAAAAATGGGTTTTAATTATAATACCTAGTAATTAGAATACATTAGATTCTATACTAATATGCTATATTTATATATATAATCATATTATATATATATATATATACTAGATACTAGTATGGTATTGAAAAATTAAATACATACTAACTAGATTAGGCAGGCGGAGAGTGATTTTTGGGCTCTTTGGGTTCTATTTGGGTTCACTACCCTAGAACCCGCGGGTTATGGGCTGGGTTTGGGCCCTAGAAATCTAGAACCCGAACCCGGTGGGTTGGGTTCTAAAGATAGGGGAACCCGGCCCAACCCGTGAAAATAACCACCCTACTGTGGATACCCATGGATATCCATACTATCTAGTCAGGTGACCTCTAGTATTTAGATTACCCTCTATTTTTTTAGTATTCTAGCCATACCACTAGGATATCTATATATTTAATAAGTAATATAAGAATAGATTAGTATAAATATTATATATTACCTATTATATAAGCTAAAATAGACTTATATAGGGGAGTAGGGGTCCCCCCTAAGCTTAGATTAAAAGATGGTGTGAAGATATATATATCTTACCATCACTATCCTAACTACTATCCTCTAAAACCTAAAAACCACTATAACTCTAGCCTTTCTTAGTAGACCTAATATTTATTTTTTATATATATAGATATGACTATTCTCTATCTATATATATAAAAATATCCCCCTATCTAGGCCTAGATCTAGTTAGATAAGCTTATTAGCTCTTAGTAGCCCTAGGTTATGTGCACCTAATGGTTTAACCCATATCCACGTGGATAAGGCAGGTTCAACCCATATCCACATGGGGTGGGTTAGGGCCAACCCTTATCCAACCCAAAGTGTGGATTGGGTGGGGTGGGTGTGGATTGGTGGGGTGGGTAAGCCAGTCTAATCGGGGGGCCTGGGGGGCAGCGCCCCCCAGATCTTAATTACTATAATTTATAGTATCCTAGAGTCCTAATATAATAAAAGGGGGGGTCTGGGGGGCCCTGCCCCCCAGGTAACTATTATCCATGACTAGGCCCCCCCTCACCGCTCTGCGTTGAGGGTGAGCCACGGCAAATCCACCAACCACACTGAATCCATCATTTTTTGATAGAAATCATGATTTTGATTATTTGAAGCTATTCCAACCACTAAATATGCCTAAATCTTCTAAAATTAATGAATCTTATCTCCTCAAGGCCTGCGAGGCCGCTTAGGCCTAAAAAAAACCAAATATCTCCAAGATTGCATGTGAATATGGTGTTCCTTATGCTACCCTATATGATCACATTAAGAAGTATGTGCATCCTTAAATAGCTAATAAACCAGTTAATAGAGCCCTTAAGGGATACTAGGAGGAGGCCTTAATCCAATAGATTATTAGTATATGTGATTAAAATATGCTAGTGATACCTAAGCTACTAGAAGAGTATGTAAATCAGGCACTTTAATATGCAGGGGAATCTAGATAGGTTAGCAAGATGTGGGTATATTACTTTAAGAAATAACTTCTAGAACACCTTAATCTAGGCCTAGTGAGGCAGAATACAAAGGAATTAAAGCATATCCAGGCTGAGGATATAGGTTTACTAGGCTATTAGTATAATTAGCTTATAAATATAATTAAAGATACTCTGGCGCGCTTAGTATATAACTTTAATAAATATGGATTCCAACCTGGCGAAGGCAAATCTAGGAATGTAATTAGTATAAAGATTACTATAAAAGATAAAGGGAAAGCTTTAGTCCCTAACCTTGCTAAGGCTAAAAGAGGAGAGAATATTATAGCTATTAAATATATTACTATAGATAGATAGCATATGGATCCCTGATTTATCTTTAAAGGTAAGATTCTAATAATTCTTCTCTTTAAATACTAATCTATTCTTGCTTCCTAAAGGTAATGGAATCTTTATGGAAACCTGGTTTAATGAGAGTAAGGCCTTACCACCAGATACTATAATAGTAACATCTCCTAATAGCTAGATATCAGATAAGCTAGCTGTTTAATGGCTTTAAAGCTTCATTAAGGTAATAAATAAATATACAAAGAGGGGAGAGAAATAGATACTTATATTTAATAGCTATAGCTCCCACCTCACTATTAAATTCTTATAGATCTATAAAGATAATAGTATTATTCCCTTTAGATTCCTTTCTTATATAATGCATCTTTGCTAGCTATTAGATAGCAAGCTATTCTTAAGCTATAAGTAATACTTCTGCTGTATGAATAATAAGCTATCTTACTAGGCTGGTAAGCCAGTAGGGAAGTTAGAATTCTTATAGATAATTAGACTAGTATAAGAGAAGGCTTTTAACTAAAGAATTATCTATGAGGCCTTTAAAGATTATGGAATCTAGCTAGTTAGTAGTAAGATAGCTAATGACCTTAGCATCTTATAATAGGAATAAGTTCTAGATATCTATATATCTAATCTCTCTACTCCTTCTATGCCTTCCTATCCAGCTTCTTCTTCTAGTATTAATATCTCACCTCCAACAATGATTCAGGCCCTTAAGAAGAATTAGGTAAAGCTATCTAAATATATAGATCTCCTTATACTGAAGCTATAGTAGAATCTTAAATAGATATTTAAATATAATTAAATTACTACTGAGCACCTAGCTATAGTAAATAAAACTATTAGTTGAATTAGGGCCACGCAGGCCCCTTTATGGTGTTAATTTACTAAGTAGCAGGTTAAGCTACTTAGCTAGTCTGGGATATTGAAATTACAGGATGTAAATTAGTTAATTACTTCTAGGAAGGCTAAAGATACTACTGTACAAGAGAGATATTTATAAAAGTAATAGGAGAAAGTGCATGAATACCTGCCACTACTAGCATCTACATAAGAGAATGAGGTATTAAATGCATCAGCAGAGGCAGCTGGTAATAATAGTAATTTTTTTTATATATATAACCCTTAGTATAGCCTCAAAATCATGATTTCTATTGAAAAATGGTGGATTCAGTGTGGTTGGTGGATTCGCCGTGGCTCACCCTTAACGCAGAGCAGTGAGGGGGGGCCTAGTCATGGATAATACCTTTCTCTACCTTCTGCATCTACTACCAGCCATACCTGATTTAATTAGTAGTTGATGTGGCTTAGTTCAATATCTATGGCTTAGCATACCGCTTGCTCCGCAGGCCTTAGGTGGTCACGCCACCTACACCTTGTTCAAATATAGCACTATTCATATTATTGCAACCACATCCGGTGGTAGAGACAGAAAAAGCATCACAATCTTTGCTGGCCTAATCTTTGATCATTTATTAGGGGAAAGCGGTTGGCATTGAACAACGTACTCAAAGTATCACAAAGCAACAGGTTGGGAGAATGAGAAACCGTGTATACAAAATTCAGTAGTCACACAGAACATATGTGATATGCATTCCTGTCTGCAGCAAAGGTGGAAAGGGACATAACTATATCACTATCTTTGCAGACCATGATGGTCAACACTCATTCAGACCATGACCAGGTAATTCTAGAGTCCCTCCTCTATTTTTAGCTTAAATCCCTGGCGGCAAGCCACTCCAAAACCCATTGAACCGCTGAATGCTCGGAGATTCATTGCCTTACTGATCTGCCGGGCCGGTCCACTGGAGCGATTGGGCCTGCACCGTTTTCCTATTCGAGAAGGCACCACGGGAGCAGTAGTCCACCCGTATCAGGCAACGGAATTATTCATCATCATCACCATCACTTTAATTTCTTTTCTTTTCTGTTTGTGTCAAAAGTGGCCATATAACCGCACTTGGTATTGAATTGAAGCTCTGTAGATGCTGTTTTCTATGAGGCCATACGCTCAGGACGACGCTCAAGTTCCTTGACCAGATCTATCCCAACCTGGGTAGCTTCATCCAGGCTCTCCTCCGGCAAACCAAGCAGCTCATTCTCGGCCTTGGCCGAGAATTCACTCGGATCATCCGGGTAAAACGCCCTCGCGTAGAGCAGCTTACTGAAACCGGCCATGTTACCACTCTTGACTAGCGCCAGGCCCTCTTCGTATCGCTTCTTGGTGTCCTCGTGAGTTATCGTCCAGTCAGCTTCAGTGGTACCAGTGACATGCTTGACGCTCTCAAACATGTCGTTTTGGCTGACGACAAAGCCCTTGATGTACACGCCCTTGTTGAGGAACGTCGACAGAGTAAGGCTCGTATCGTTTTCGTGCTCAGGCAGCACGTTCAGGCTCAGGACCTTGGCCACAGCGCGACCAACCTGCGATAACGTCGAAGTAGAGTTCTTGGTGTTGCCATCGTCGTAAATGGTCAGAGAACGCTTGTCAAAGTCGAACCCGAAGCGCGCCTCCCCGCCGGCCAAGCTGTAATCGTACCAAAACCCACAGCACACCGTGATCCACTGCATGCCGAGCCTCTCGATCTCGTCCCTGTTGGCCTTGGCCATGGGCCCCAGCAGCGTGTCCTGGCCGAGTTTAATGTGGTCAATGTCGCCGCCGTACCCGTTGGGCATGATGTAGGGAACACCAGCCTTAGCGGCCGCCTGGACGAGCTTGCTGTGGGTGTCGCGGGGAGCAGTAGGGGCCATGGTGATGATAAGGAATTGCTGGCCCTTGAGGGCGGCAACAATGGTGGCCTCGTCATCGTAGTCGACTGGGGCGGCTACGACGCCCTCGGGGAGTTTGTTGCTGCTATCTTTGCGGGTGAGGGCCGTAACTGTGTGTTTCCCAGTTTTAAGCAGAGCGGCGACGATGTTTGATCCAACAGTGCCTCCGGCCTAAGTGTATTGTTAGCATTGTGGTGTGCATGCTGGTGGCTGATGGGTTTGCTTACGCCGACAATGGCGACTCTCTCAATGGCGTTTTTGAAGCTGGCGGGCTGGTTCTTGGCGTAATCAGGCATGTTGGCCTTTTTTGAATAGGATGCTGAACTGAAAATTAATGTATATTAATTGTTGTGATCGTGGTCAAGAGTGGTCATCGAGGTGTTGTAGCTATTGTTGCCGTTGAGCTTGTGGGTGTCTGGCTATTTCTCCTTGAAGCAGAGAATGCCTGTCCATTTATACATTTCAGACCCAGTCTCAACATCGCTACACAGCCATACTCCTATGCCATTTCTTTCATCTCAGCCTAGTCGCACCTGATCGAATTGGCAACTCCACCCAGAGATGCTGGCCCCTCAATCAACTATGAGTCAGGCAACCTGTGCGTCAACGTCGCCATGGCAGCCGCACTGTTAGGCTCCAGAATAGCTGCAGCAACTGTGGCGAGCATTACCGCCGAGGGACTGAAATCCGTGCGAAACCCCCGATGGACGGAGATACGGGGGCTCTCAGCCGCAGCAGCCGCACACAGGGCCCATTGAATTGACTAACACTGGCGGCTGGCCTACCTGACAGCAGTTGACCTGACTAACTCCGCAATAGCCGCACCGCACCGCACCGCACAACAATGAAGCGGCTTGAGACAGCATAGCCTAGTATTGTTCACCTCCTGAGACCCGATTAACAGACCTCCTGGCATATCTCCGGAGGTCAAGATGATCAGATTGGACATTACGACGCAGAGAAAGAAGACCCTTATGACTCATGCAGGAGCCCAGCCTCGAACCTCAAGGAGCACAAATTTAGATATACTCCATGGCAGCTCCTCGACACATAGATCCAAGGCACCAAAGTCGACAACGCCATCATCATACCGGCTGGTCAAAGCCCACACATACTACGAGTCGTCTTACTAGCTAGGCTAACTCGTCCCCAAGCCTCAGTTTGCCTTATTATCCACAAATATATCTTTCCAAGGTAAAAAAGACAACATGTCGCTTGGAGAGGCCCCCTCTGATGATTCAACACTGGGGCAGACATCCCCCGAAGGCTCGAGTGAGGACTATGAAAATGGCGTGTCCAACAAGGCCGCCGACAGCAACACCGAAGGCCATCAGCCCCAACCCTTTAACTCCAAGGTCGAACGCCCCCGGTCCTTCGCCGGCGAAGTCCTCTTCCTCGCGGTCATCTGCTCCTCCCAGCTCCTCACTCAAGCCGGTCTTGCCCTCAGCATCGTACCCCAACACATCATTGGTCGCTCGTTCGGCATCGACGACCAGCCTGGCCAGCTGAGCTGGTTCTCTGCTGGATACTCTCTCACTGTCGGCACCTTCATCCTGGTCGCAGGCCGTCTTGGCGATGTCATCGGCCACAAGCTCTTCTTCGTTGGCGGCTACGCCTGGTTCGGCTTGTGGTCTGCCCTCGCCGGCGTTGCCGTCTACAGCAGCTCCAGCTTCTTCATTTTCTGCCGCACCATGCAGGGCATCGGCCCGGCTTTCTTACTGCCCAACGCCATCGCTATCCTCAGTCGCTGCTACGACCCGGGGCTTCGCCAGAACATGATCTTCAGTCTGTTCGGTGCCACTGCCCCCGGCGGCTTCGTAATCGGCGCCGTCTTCTCCAGCCTGCTTTCCCAGATGACCTGGTGGCCCTGGTCCTATTGGGTCCTGTGTTTTGCGTGCCTTTTGCTGGCCGTCTTGGCCGTCTTTGTCATTCCCGCAACCCCAGCGCCAAGCAAAACAGAGCCTGAAAGTCCCAGTATCTGGCAGCGAGTCGATCTCTTCGGCTCCATCACCGGCGTGGCCGCCCTGGTCCTCGTCAACTTCGCCTGGAACCAAGGTGCCGCTGTCGGCTGGCCGACACCTTACACCTACAGCATCTTGATTGTGGGCATCCTCATCTTTGTCGTCTTCGTCCTCGTCGAGAAGAGGGTGAGCCACCCCCTGATCCCCTTTGGCGTCCTGCAAATCGATGCCCTCTTCACGCTAGCCTGCATCAGCGCCGGCTGGTCGAGCTTCGGTATCTTCCTCTTCTATACCTTGAATCTCCTCGAAATCCTGAGGGGCCAGACCCCTCTGCTCACGTCCGCCCAGATCACTCCTATCGCCATAAGTGGGCTGCTTGCTGCGGTGACTACCGGTCTGGTCCTGAGTCACTTCCGGACGTCGACTGTGATGCTCATCTCCATGACCTTCTTCCTCATCGGGGGAATCATCTTTGCGACCGTACCGGTCCACCAGACCTATTGGGCGCAGACTTTCGTGGGTATCATCGTCCTCCCGTGGGGTATGGACATGTCCTTCCCCGCCGGCACCATCATCCTGAGTCGGGCGATGCTGCGGGAGCATCAGGGTCTCGCCGCATCGCTGGTCAACACCTTTGTCAACTACTCGATCTCCATTGGGCTCGGGCTTGCCGGCACGATCGACGCAGAGGTCAATGATGGAGGGAAGGATATTCTACACGGATACCGGGGCGCACTCTACATGGGTGTCGGTCTCTCCGGCTTGGGTGTAGCTGTGGCTCTGGCTTTCTGTTTCGTGGAGCGGCTTCAGTCCAAGACGCCAGGAAAGGTGGCGCAGGAAAAGAGCGAAACGCAGGAGGAGTATGTTTAGATATCTTCAATGGCAAGTTTTACCTAAATACAATACTGAATGTTCATCAGACCATCCTAGAGTGCCACGCCATGTTTTGATGAGTTGACTCGCCGCTGTGGATGTCGGGACCGAGAATCGATAGATATGGCTCGATGAGAAACTGATCCCAGTCCAGACTCCAGCCAATGTCCGGCAAAGTGGCGTTGGCCTCGGGTTCCGGCTGCGCCTGGAAGGGTTCGTAGCCCGCCTCGACGGTTTCCAGCTGGGTAAGCTCCTTTCGCTTCTTTGCTATATTGAGACTGAGAAGATGCCGCGCGATTGACAATGCCTGACGGGTCAGTCCGGTGTCCGCAGCCCTGACCAGATTTTCCAATCCCTTAAAGGCAGCAGGGATGTGAGCGGAGGAGGCCGGCGTGTCGATGGCCAACAGGACACAGGCATACTGGAACACGCTGCCGATGACGTTCCAAAGCAGACGACCCTGGTTGGTGAGCTGCTCAGCCGCATCCACTGCGTCATTACCGCTATCAATGATGAGTTGGATTATCTCGTCCGTTATGCCTGCCTTGAGCTGATAAATGCGTCGATAGAAGCAAAACGCAAGGTCCGCCCTGGTCGCCACCAGGAACGGATGGGTGAGATGGAGTTTACTCAGCGCCTTGAGACGCTCAAAGAGCTCCTCTCTCGGCGTTGCAGGCTGACAGTCGAGCTGGAACGGCGAGTTGGGCGACGGGATGATCTGGACTATCTGCACGAACTGGTCGGCAACGGACCCTTGTATCGGGATGATAGCCTGACAAGTGACGGCCCCAAATCTGACAGCCGAACGATCGTACTCGTAGGACAGCATCTGATGCCCGGCCCACGAGATCCAGAAAATTCGCCTCAGCCGGTCCGCATCATGTCCAACAACGGCGGCGCCGGCGACAGATGCCATCCGTTTGATGTTCTCTTCTTCGTGCAGCCCGACCACTTCGCAAAGGTGCATGAGAGTGCACGACGCGACCCAGGCATTACTGGGGCGGGTTGTGGCCCGTAGATAAAATAGCCGCATGCCCCACGCGATGATGTGGTCAATCCTCAGCATCCGCATGGAGGCTGGATCATCGAGAATCGCTTTGGCGTACTGCACCAGGTCGGCCTCCCGCGGGTATCTGGTTGGGGATAGGAACGACCCGAAAGCAGCGACGCCAGCGGCCACAGCGCCAAAGGCGACCGCGGTGCTGCCGGAGCCATGATAATAATCCCGACATCGCTGGGCGTAGATCCTCGGGTCCATGCAGTCGCCGATAGGGCCCATTGCGGAGAAGTACACATTCGAGTAGAAGGCGAGGTCGTCCTCCGAGATCAGTTTCCCTAGGAAGCCATACGCGTTGGAAGCCTCCTCGGGGCGGATCCCAAAGGTGTAGGCGAACGAGTTGACCTTGGGAGGTCTGTCGGAGCCGAGAGCCACGCCCAGGATGTGCGGGAAGGCCATGGCCGCCGATGCTCCGGTGTATCTGGACTTTTGCTCGTCAAAGATGCCGGGCCCGACGGGAGGACTCTCTGTCGACGGGCTGTCAGCTGCATGGGGAGCTCTCGCTACATGAGGTTGGCTGTCTGGGTTGCGCGATTTGCCGGTGACCTCGCTCGCCATACTACTCCCGCCGTCCAAGATGACGCGCTTGGCTAGGGGTGGAGCGTGCCCGCCTCCACCTGCAGTGCTAGTGGTGTCGTCGTCGGCGTACCTGCAGTGATATTCATATGTGACGCACGTGCCACAGGGATACTCCACGTCGCATTTCCGCTTGCGCTGGTGGCAAGGGATGCATGCCTTCTTTGCACGCTTGCGCTTGCTGACTGTCGTCGACATGACAATCAGTTGCTATGTCATAATCTCGGAGGCTTATCACAAGACGGTTGATCGGCTTCCCTGCATCTGACTGTTCTGACATAAGTTGATGTGCTGTTGGGCGCACGTGTCAGCAGATACCCGGAGGCCGGAGTTACTATCCCCCGACAGGATTAGCCATGTACCTTAGTAGAACTAGAGCACTAGAGCTCATTCAAATTACCAGTTAGGGCCCTAGCGGCCTTTTAGCAATTTAGACCTATTAATTATCTAGTTCATTAGTGCACCTATATGATCCACTTCCCTTCTGTTCCGTTAGCACCCAAGTTCGCCAACAAGTACCTAGATATGGAGCCTAGGTACGAATGGTGGTAAGTTGGTAACCCACCTAATTACTAATTGACTACGGATAGCGTGTGGTTTAGAGCAGCTAAAAAGGGTTAGATGAGTCATGTTGGATCATGCTTTTCTTTGCCAGGGATGGATCTGATTCCAAAATGTCCATCGAGGGACCCAGTTTACTAAGCCTGGGTGTTAAATACCTGCTTCTTGATTCCCATGTCTGCTGCTCTAAAGAATTTGCGTCAAAGCCTCGCGCGCATAAAACCATTTCCTTCGCCGGCCGCAACTACAAGGGTCGCTCTGGCTTATGAGTTACATAGCCTCACACCTGCAGGTTGCAAGAATTTGGATGACGACAAGCATGTCCCCATAATATTCCTGCATGGATTCCTTGGGTCGAAGCGAGAAAACCGACGGATCAGCAAGTAAGCTACTATGTGGTCTTGTCACCCCGTTAGGTTCCGGGCTCACTCTTTGATTGAGGCTATTGGCCAGAGATCTGTCGAGACCGGTCTTCGCAGTAGTAAGCAATGCATCCGAATCAAGACTTGGTGACTTTTCAAGCTGACAAGAATGAAGGATCTTCGTAATCATGGGGAGTCGGGCCATCACTTGAAACATGATTACATGGAAATGGCGCTGGACGTTGCATCTTTCATGCAGAGCCACGGGATGGAGAGAGCAACACTTATCGGTCATTCCATGTGCAACTCCCCTTTGCGGGTATCCTGGATCTCTCGTTATTGCTAATCTACTGCCAGGGGTGCCAAAACCGCATTAACACTTGCTCTTCAACTGCCGCATCTCGTCTCCGATGTTGTAGCCATCGACAACTGTCCAATCCATCTACCCCTGATGGATGACTTTCCAAGGTACCTAAAAGGAATGGCAAAAGTCAGCGATGCCAAGGTGAAAACCCACCACGAGGCTGAGATGATCCTGCGAGAATATGAAGATGTACGTGCCGCTTCTATTTCCACCCCTCGCGGAAGACGGATGCTGACATTGATTGAGCCAGTCTTTATCCATACGGCTATTTCTGCTGAGCAATTTTGTCAAAGACAGCGACACGCCATATCTAAAATCCCGCGTCCCGTTGGATATACTCAACACGGCATTGACTCCCTTGGGCGATTTCCCACACAAGAACGAGTCGGTAAAATTTCACAATCCTACCCTTTTTATTCGGGCACTTCGAAGTCATTATATCCCAGAGAGTGCGTTTCCACTCATGTCTTCCTTCTTTCCTCATTCACGGATCGTCAATATAGATTGTGGACACTGGGTGGTTCAGGAGCGGCCGGAGGAGCTGAAATCAGGTGATTTACCTATTTTCTTATCATGAAATGCATCTGCTAACATAAGGCCTGTTATAGCGGTGGTAGATTTCCTGAAGACCAAGCCGTAGAGGTCTTTGACAGCTTAGATCTTGCAGGAGCAACAGTATTCCCATAAGTATTTACGTCAAGACTTAGATTTTGCGGGGTCCTGGATGTGTAAGGCATCTATAGAAGTGATAGTGCTCCTTAATAGGATTCCTTCCTGTGGACATGATTATAGAGAATATACTAATCAGCTATAACTCTGATTGCTACTATACTAGGAAGGAGCAGAATATGAAAAATACTGTTTAGGGTGCAAATGTGAAGCATACTATAGTACACATCCACTTCATGTGGCGCTCTTCCTATGCACTACTAGGACCACTGATGGCCTGGAGAAATAGCTCTGCCGCATTCTCAGCGAATACGATACCCTCGCTCTTCATGCTACGACGGATCAGGTCCCGGCCACGCTCGAACCTATCCCTCTTTATATGAGGCCAAGGCCTTTTCCAACCTGACTGCCGGGACATTGGCGAGACTTGAAACTCCCCCACAGTGCTAAAAATGCGTTCGGCCAGCACAACTGCATCGTACATGCTACAATTTACCCCTTCGCCAACAAACGGTGCCGAAACGTGCGCTGCATCTCCAAGCAGAGTCATCCCTGGAGTGTGGCCCCAGGACCAAAAGAAGAGAGAGAGGGACGATTCTGGAGTTGATTAGCTTGGAGTCAAGGAGCCCTCAATGGTTATATTATATTAGAATCATACATTATATATGATATTCATGCTGTAGTAAATCCCTCTGGACGGAGTAAAAGCATCCTGCATGTCTCAGGGCTCTCAGGACTAGCGGGGCACGTCGGAGTCGCATAAGTTATCCGACGCCGAACCGCCGAACCACTGACTCTCCCTCCACTTCTCTTCCCTTATTATCAAACAGTAGGTAGTGATACGTTGCTTGCTCCTTAGCTTCTATCTATCCACCACCATGAGTGAACCGTTCACCCTAAGACGCCATTCCCAGCGCCGCAGCTGCCTGCTCTGTCGCTCACGGAAGATCAAATGTGACCGACGGCAACCATGTGGGGGCTGCATTCGGGCTGCCTCCACCTGCATTTATCCCAGTGGGACGGGGCGCGCTCCTAGGCGGCCGCAGCAATGCACGAACAACTCGGCGGTGCTGACAAGACTTGACCGGCTGGGGAGCATCATTAGACAGCTGGAAAGCCAACAAACCCAGCAACAACAGCCCCTGGACCCGTCCACAGCCGCTCTGCCAGCCCAAGGGGACCAGCGGAATGGTCGTCTCGCCATTGACAGCACATCCAGTGTCTATGTGAGCAACGTGCTATGGGCTAGTCTGGGAGATGAGGTCTTTTCTTTAACCCCCAAGTTTACATTTTGCTAAGGCCTGACCAAGGACGATAGATTGAAGAACTGCGGGATTTGCTACACGTATCGCCCTCGAATAATGATGACGACGAGGAAGGGGGTTGGCAGGAAGAAACAGATGAAAAGGAGGAACCAGTAGGCACAGTTGGGTTGAATGCCGCCGTCATGGGCTTCAGGTCGCTCGCTCACTCACTGCGAGACTACCATCCGTCCATCTCTCAATCGGTCGCTCTGTTTGAGATTTTCCAGACCAATGTCGCTCCCGTGGTGAAGATCTTCCACATGCCGACCCTCACGAAGCTCTTCTGGGACGCGGTTGCCTCGCTTGACGCCCTCGATTGCAACACGGAGGCCCTCCTGTTTGCCATATACTATGCTGCTATCATCAGTACTGACCAGAACCAGTGCTCTCTTGGCCTACCTCGACACCAGGCCCTTCATACCTGTCGCTTTGCCGTCGAGCAGGCCCTCGCCCGCGCGGATCTGCTGAATACCCAGAACATGATCTTGTTGCAGGCGGCGGCCCTGTTTCTCTGTGCCCTGCGCAACGAAGACGACTCCCGAACAGTCTGGTCGCTGACGGCCTTGATTGTGCATATTGCACAAGCTATGGGTCTCCATCGCGACGGCGCGGCCTTTGGCTTACGGCCCCTCGAGACCGAACTGCGACGGCGACTGTGGTGGTTCATCGTCGGCCTCGACCAGCGCTCGTCCGAACATCACGGTTACGAACCTATTGTATCCGAGTCGTCCTTTGATACCCGGCTGCCGTTGAATATTGATGATTCTGATTTGACCGCGGACTTGATTCAGCCGCCGACCGAGCGAGACGGCGCCACAGAGATGACGCTGAGCCTGATTGGGTGGGAATCCATCCCCATCGTGCGCAAGGTCAGCTTCATTCCACCGCACCGCCGTCAGGCAAGGACAACGGGCAGTGCATCTGTCACAGAGTTGTCATTGGCCGAACGGGAGGCACTGGCCGAGAAGCTGCAGAGCCGCCTTGAGACTCGATATCTGGCGTATTGCAATCCCGCCGACCCCTTCCTCTTTGTCTCAGCTGCCGTGGCGCGGCTGATCATCGCCCGCGTATGGCTGATGGTCCACTATCCTCGCAAGGGGATGGATAGTAGTAGGGAGGCATCAACGGCCCCGCTGCAGGCAAGTCTGCGGGATAAGATTTTTCTCCTCGCCCTCGAGATCCTGGAGCTCTCCTGCTCCGCCCTGTGCAATCCGGATATCGCTCACTGGGCCTGGAGATCCGATACCTACTCCCAGTGGCACGCAGTCGCGCTGGTCCTATTAGAGATCTGTACTCGGCCCCCATGCCGGGATTGCGACAGGGCGTGGGCCGCAGTGGAGATTCTCTATGACCGCTGGCGCATGAAGGAGCACGCGCGCAAGGGCACGTTGTGGGAGCCGATCGGGCGGTTGATGGCCAAGGCGCGTTATGTCCGTGAGATGCAGTCGGTGGACAGAGACTGCTCTGCTGGGGGTTCATCATCGGTGACGGAAGTGAGCCCTGACCTCCCCCAAGGTGCCCATCACAGCAATGTCACGACAACCCTGGATCCCCTGGCTGATATCTTCTCTCTCGCACCCTTTACGGAGATGAATCCTAGTTTAGATGATGTCTTTCTTGTGGATGATGACTTTGTCCAGGTAGATATGTGGACTGTCTCCTAGTATACTTTAGACTTGACTTGGGTTATACTGTTTCTACGTCGGTTTCTACCTAGGTACATGAATTCGGATATTAATTTTGTGTTACTTGTGCATCTGAGGCAATACGTTCTAGTTAACGATATTGCCTACACAGCTAGGTATACACCTCCAGGTCAAAGAAAAGTGTCCTGGTCGTTGTTTCAAAGCAGTTAAGTGGTATCAGGAGCCAAGGGTCTGTTTTCTTGATGACTGCCTACACAGTATAAGCTCTGCAATTCATTTGTCTGATATTATTACACTTTTCTTTCTACTCTTCGTCTACTCCACATCATCAGTGGCACCATCTTTGTCCATGTCTTCTCATCTGAACAATAACAACCACTATCACTGCCTTAATTACTCCCTCGAAAATCCTCTTCTTAGATTCCTGGTTCTAGTTTCTAGAAGTCTTGTTAGAGACTTTATTACTCTTAGATTTCTGCAACTGCGCCTCACTGTGAGTTGTTACTGCTAGGACACTTGACGGTTCTTAGCCAACACCACGCTGTTCTATTAATCAAAGCATTTCACCTGTGCTCAACCCCTACAACAGTCGCAACTATGGCTGATGATGAGCATTTGAACATATACAATCCACCAACGTAATTGTCATGAACTTTAGCCACAAACATAGCTAACGTGACTGTTCTGTAATTTTAGTGTCTGCCCAGCAGATTGCATTGCATTGTCATGGATGTAAAATGGAGGCTACAGGCATCTGTAGGGAGGCCAGATCCTGTAGGTTGTTGATTCTATGAGTCTCCTTCAAAGACCAGGAGTAAAACCTTCTGTCTTTGCATTCCAACCGAGGGGAAAATGCGGACCTTCGTCGCCATCCCATCCCCCCGCCATCATCGCAACTGCAAGAAGCAAGGAAGATGAGGCAGGGAAGTACGGAGTGGGCACCCGCGTACCGCCAATGGGATTGCCGACGTCATCAAATTGAAAGACGGGGTTGAGAAGATAGTCCACGGCCTGCTGCGGGTTCCCCAGACGGGTAGCCGTTAGAGCCAACATGGGGAAATCCCAACCGTATGAGTTGGTCAAGTTCCAAACCTGATTGATCTTCATCATCGTCGCGTTGACGATCCCGACGTCCACACCAGGCGTGGGAGGGAGAAGGCCGTACACGGCAACCTGGCTGGGATGGTCAGAAATGTAATCGTAGGTGGCCCACATATCCGGGAGATCTGCACAAATGGTGTACGCTCCATCTGTCAAGGGCAGAGCGGCCAGGTTACGTTGAACACGTGTCCACTCAGATGGAACAGATTGACCTTGTCGACGCTTCCACTCCGAGGCAATTTGCAGGCCGAAGCGCCAGTACGCCGGTTCGAAGGTGGGATTGTATGTTGAATTCGGGTTCGTGTTCTCCGACGATGGGTACAATGGCGGACCTAGATCGTACACCTGCGTCCAGCTATTCCACCACGCGTACGAGGCCATGAACTCGGCGAGTTCTGTCAAGATGGTGCCCCATTTCCTGAGCGTTCTGAGCTGTAGGAAAGGCGCGATACTCCAGCTCGGCGAAATACATCGCGTGCGGTTGCTGCCAGACCAACAGCGCGTTGATCTCTCCGGGGGCGGATCGATCGGATGGATCGCTCATCTTACCCAGTCGAGCGCCTGAGTACCCCTGTTCTTTGGCGCGCTCGATGGACGAGGGAAGAAAGCGACTATATACTCCGAGAGTGCGGTTGAGGAGCTCCCACTTACCCCATCGGCCCAGTGGCCCAGATGCCAAAACACCATCTCAAGATGGAACTTTCCGTACCATCCGTTGTTTTGCAGTCCTGCTTCTTGCGGAGGGTCCCTCCCCGCGCAATTGACAGCAAGGAGATACTGCGAGAGAATGATGCGCCGCTGCAGTTCTTCGGTGTCCGAGCTTCTGGTGGCCGTGAGGTCGACGAACGATCCTGATTCCCAGTACTTGGCCCACCAGATCGCTGATTCTGCTTTTATCCTGTTGAATGTGCTGACCTCGGTGCTCAGCTCCGGGGTATAGGTGGAAGTGAAGGAAAAGGTCGTTTTCCCAGATGGGTTGAGAACATATCGATGGGTTCTGTTAACGGACCGTTGATGTTCCCTTGGGATAGCCACAAAATGCTGCTGTAGTAGGTTGTTCCTCCCAGAGAATGCTCAATTACGGCTTTCTGGTGGTCATTGAGGGACAGCTTCGTTGTATGATTCGATACAGCATTCCAATCACCGACAAACGGCGCTTGGAATGACGCTGCCCTGGTAGTCAGGGGATAGTAGAAGAAGACACTCAAAGAGCCATTTTGCAGAAGCTGCGAATCGATGCGCACCGCAACCTCGTCCGAACTCGGGCTTCCAACGGTCTGCACAACTACCCTCTCCCCTCCGAGAAAGAATTCAGATGTCAAACGTCCAGTATAGAGATCCAAGTTCTGTGACATGTTGGACAAGTCCGCCAGCGAGATGTTCTTGCCATTGTATAGACGACCGATGCGTCCTAGGTTACCACGATGTGGATTCGCCCTCAGCCAAGTCAAGAGGGCCGCTTCGGCCGGATTTGGCATATCATAGTTTACCAGTCTGCCATGGGTCCACCAGTCCAGTCCGGTGAAGTCGGAGGGGTCATCCTGGCCCGGCTCGGTAGGCAGAGAGTCATTGACCCAAGACCAGGAGGACAGAATGTTGTACGGCAGAATGGTCTGAAGGCCGGTAATATCAGCTCCAAAGGCAAAATTGCCATTTCCCACTTGGATGGGAGTCGTGGAGGACAAATTGGTACGGACGGGATTGAAGCGACGGACGACCTCACGCCGGTTTATCCTCGAGACCTCGACCCATTTCCACCCACGGCAAGGGTCAGAAATATGAGTATTATAGTCTTCAACCGGCTAGAGAACGCCATGATGATTCGCTGGTCTTGGCGCCTAGATAAGGAATGGTCTACATAGAAGCGGACAGTGTATCCATTCTACGATTTGTGAACCCCAGATGCAATGTTAGAAGTAGTCATTGTTATTTCGGGGTAAAGTCCCAAAGGATTTGCAGCATCACCTACTTTTAAGGTTGTCGTGGTCTAATGTGGACCGACCAGTAACAATCGGACCCTCCAGATCTCCATTGGTGCAAAAACCACATCCTTTCAGAGGCGGAATAGGAGATGCAAGTTCCTTCCATACACAATGTTATCTAGTTGGGAGCCATGGTGTTGACTAAACTGTCTTACTTTGATCTAAATCCACGTACCCCACGTTAACATCTCCGCATTGACAAAGGGTTGATTTTTTGGCCGGCCGTATGATTCAATATTGGACAAGTGGGGACTGAAGGATAATACTTATACTGTAGCTTATAATCTTTGCCAGGCTATCGCTCGTCGAGCCAGTCTCAGTGGTAAAATAAGTGCCCACTGCAGCTATTCCTCTCACTCACCATGACTTCAAAGCAAAGGCTCTTCAAGACATGCCAAGGGAGCAATATATTTCCATCTATCATTAAATTTGCATTAATCGGCCAACAGGCTATTCGCTATTCTATATCGAAGTCAATTGGTTTGTTAATAGCCTGTGTGATAGCCAAGCCAGATGCCCATAACTGATCTTGGAAAACAAGCAGACGCAAGGTATATACTATGATCTATTACTCAGATACCAAGCATATAACCATCAAATTGCTAGAGCATTCGGCCTCAATAGTTCAAGATATTTAGACTATTCTTTTCGCGGCTATTTTCAATTTTCGACACTAACAGCTGCACTCTGTACAGAGTCTGATTCGCTTTTCCAACCTCTTAGCATTACAGTGGCACCTCAAGGTGCTTTCAAGCCTTTTCCATTCTCCCTGTAAGGCATAACACTTGCCATGTTAAATCCCACAGAGATGGGAGTGATGACTACAAGTACATCCTGCGTGCGTTTCGCAAATGCAGCCATGGTGGCCGCGTTGTATTTGACAAAGACATCATGTATACCATTGGCAAGGCAATGGATCAGATTTCTAAAGCGGGTCGACGTTGGTATGTATACCACTGTCTGAGGACCATATGTATTTACATATATCTGGTAGATATCCAAGGCAAAATCATCATGACTAATGACATTGATTATTGGCTGCCAATTCCTTCAGTACGCCTTCCAGGTTAGCTTGAGCTTTGTCTAAATTAGAGGGACTGACATCAACATCTATTCCGGCGGGGAAATTGATGGCAACAGATCCTCAGGATATGTGTCTAACCTCAACCTCCGCAACTCACCTAACTGGGTTCAGTGGGTATATAACTTGAGTAATATTATCTTTGATAGCATGTATCTTAACACTTTATTAAGCAATAGTAATCCTATAGCAGACTTGGTTGAGTTGTCTACCTCATACGCTACGCTTCGGAACTAACTTTGCTAGATGGATGGTATGTTTGACCTGGCATGAAGCCAGTGTGAATCGTCTCTTATAAACACAGGGATACCTATCGGTCTGGTAACATCGTAATCCAAAACTCTCGTGTTTTCCGCTCCGACGGCGGGTTGCTCTATCCGTTCAATGAGGATAATCTGCTGACATCGTTAGACTGCGTATCATTCATTCCTAATAGTACGAATATCCTCGTGTAGGTAATATCTCACAAGCGTACGTTACCAGACTGGAACTGACTCGTCTCTGGCAAGAATCTGTACTGCAATGGTTCCCATGGTATCTCCGTCGGTTCTCTGGGCCAATAGGTAGACATTGTGGAGAACATTTTGGTCTATAACACTTCCTGAACGATGCTTCGATACGTGATCCTCCACGACTCTCAGAGCTCGAAAGGAGCTGACTCTTCAGGATGGCGCTCGTATCAAAATCTGGCCTGGAGCAATTGGCAACCCACCAACACTGGCGGCGGCAGTGGCCAACGTAACCTACGATGGCATGCTCAACTAAAACAACGACGGGGCTGTTGAAATGACCCAATGCTACTTTGCTCCCAATCAGACGGCTTGCGATGAGCATTCAGTATGTATCCGTCGCTGGACATACAAGCTCGGCTGGTAGGTCCTAGGCTTCACTCATTGTCGAGGACATTCTGTTCAAGAATTTTGACGGCACTACCAGTAGGAAGAGGGCGCCTTATCTTGCTACTCTTGTCTGCTCAAGCCCAGATGTATGTTTCCTTTTGAATGTCCCTCATAGTCCCCTTTGGTTCACGAAAACAGTTATGCAAGAATATCCGCGCTGAGAATATCAATTATTCCTGTCCCTAGCAACTATCCGTGCCAGGCGCACCCACCTGCTAAGGCACAGATATCACCCAAAGCAGTTGACTATCTTTTGGCCGATATGCTTCTTATTGAGATCCTGCCGGCGTTCTCCCGTCGCCAAGCCTTCTCTCGGCTGGGATATAGTATCTCCGGCTCCGAACGCATAGAGTAGAAATAGGAGAATTCGAACAGCTTGGTGAAGACCAAGCGGTTCGTTCTGATCATTCGAATACATACGTTTTTACCTTCGAAACCCAGTAGTCATAACTAGTAATCCCGCAGCCTAGTCGACGACATCGCCTTCTAGGAACCCTTAAGCCGATTACCTCCGATCGCCTTACAGATCCAGCTCCTTGTATTAGTCGAGATTAGACTGGTCGTGGATTGGATATGGGTTGATCCACCACCTATCTAACCCACCCTTATATCCATGCGGGTTGGATTGCGGATAATGGATATATCCCATACTGGCTAGTCAGGTGACCTCTAGTCTTTAGATTACCACCTATTTTTCTAGTATTCTAGCCACAGCACTAAGATATCTATATGTTTTATCTAATACTGTAGTAATTTACTATATAAATATTATATATTACCAATTATATAAGCTAAAATAGACTTATATAGGGGAGTAGTGGTACCCCTAAGGTTAGGATGAAAAGTAGTGCAGATTGGGTGGGTTGGATATTTTGCGGATTGTCTAGATTAGGTAGAAAGTCGAAGGCGGAGGACAGAGAGGCTCTCGGCGGAGTGAGCCACCAACTTTTTCCTAGTTGTCTACCTCTCGTACCCAGACACCTCTTTGGCGTGGTGGATTTGATTGGCTGACAGCTCTCATGGCAGATAACGATCTGATCCTCCGTACAGGTCCAGGCCGCATTCATCTGCTGCTCAGCAGAACCACCAATAGTAAATGTAATCCTACAAACCTGTTGAGGCTGCGGCTTAAATTGGTCACAATGCACAGTTTGTCTCCCGGCGCCAGTTTTCCCACTTTAGAAGACTGAATCAATGGCTTTTCTGCTTTTATCACTGCGAATCAGCCAGCCAGTACCAGATTAATCATGTGTTCCTACTTCTTTAGCCTTAATTGAATCCATATTGTCGATTTGCTGTACGTGATGTTGTCTCAGTGTCTGCCTGTCACGATGTAACGTAGCGCATGGATTATCCGCACTAAATTTGGTGGACCCGCAACCGTGTTAGGACGCACAGGATCCATTCGAGGTTCGCGAACGGACAACTCGCTGCTAATATATGCTAGTTCAATGCTGATAACAGGGATTTGAGATTAAGTCGACCGGAAATTTTATCTAGGCATACGCTGTCAGATTGATCATGTGTTGGAAGGAATCAAGGGCAGATCCTAGGTATCTCCCCAGGCCTATCTAGGGGGGAAACAACAAACTTTTAAAATGGCAGAGATTTTATCCAAATGATTTGACCGCCACGTCATTTTTACATTTTTTCTAATCCCACCCGATCCCTTGGGATCACCATCCACTCACAGGCTTGGGTGGTGTTGGTTCTTTTTTTTTGTCCTTTTCCCTTTGTACCTTTTCTGCTTTTCAGACTCACCATTATTATTATTATCACAGCCCTGGACACCACGCTTTCCTGCTAAGCCACAACATAAAAGGGCACTAATGCATGACCGATAGATCATCCAACAAGTGTATTATATAGAAGGGACAGGACCCTGACATTTGTCGCGTCTGGACCCGACACTTCCTGCTTCCCTCCTAAATCTCCGTGGCTTTTTTTTACATGCATTCCCATGTACCTCAATAATGCAACCCGCGTCCTAACTGCGGCTCTTCGCGTGTTACGCTCCTTTGCGGAAGGCATCTCTGAGTACTGGAAATCATGGCCGAAGAAGAGACAAAAGAATGCTTTGGTGGTGGTTCTGACGGTGTTTATGTTTTGCCTGGGTCTGAAACTAGGATCTGACCTATTCTATGCCCATTACTGGGAGCGGGCGACAGTATCCAGCTTGTCGAATTCGCCCTACGTCGATTACTGGGAGTGGGAGACAACGTCCCGCTTCTCGGATGCGCACCAAGGTGGTAGTGGTGGCGATGACCTTTGCGACTCCTTCCCATCATACCTCCTCTCGCGCGTTCAAGTCGTTCTCAAAATCGGCAGTACAGAGCCTCCTAGTCGGGTTGATACCCATCTGGCGACTGTTACCCGCTGCATAACCAATCTCATTGTCTTCTCCGACCGTGAGTCGGAAATCAAAGGTCATCACGTATACGATATTCTTGCAACTCTTCCAGAGAGCTTCTGGACGAACAGCCCTGACTTTCAGGCGTATAGCGCGATCCAGCGCGGCGATTCCAATACTGCTGGGAGTTCTCAGGGCTGGACACTTGACAAATACAAGTTCCTGCCCATGGTCGAACGCGCTTATGAAATGAACCCGACTGCTCAATGGTTTGTTTTCATCGAGTCGGATACATACTTCGTGTGGGACAATCTGTTTCGTCTCCTTGACCAGTTCGATCCGTCTCATCCTTTATACTTTGGCTCCCCCGCTCCTGGAAAGGACCACTCTTTCTTCGCCTATGGGGGTGCGGGGTTTGTGCTGTCAACTGCGGCAGTCCAAAGGCTGGTAGCGCGTAAGGCCGAGAGCGATGGCGTGTACGGCGAACCTCCGTTGAGTCAGCGTTATAAGGATTTGATAAATGTGGATTGTTGCGGCGATTCAATACTTGGATGGGCACTGCATCAAAGTGGAGTGGATCTGTCCGGGTTGTGGCCGATGTTCAATCCACATCCTGTGCATGGGGTTCCGTTTAATGAACGGCATTGGTGTCAGCCGGTGATTAGCATGCATAAATTATCGTTGGAAGATATGACGGAGCTGGCGAGGTGGGAGAACCAACGTGGCCGAAAGGTATGTCTTTCCTCCTGGCCCTCGCTAGTCTGCGAGTGGTATGTCCTCGACAACTACTAACATTGACACTCTATAGCTTCCATTGCTATATGCCGACCTGTTCGAGTTCACAAAAATGGGCACCCTTGACTATAAAACGGACTGGGACAACGGTGACTGGGGCGGATGGCAAGAGCCGCCCCAATCGCCCGCCCATAGGTCTGTCGAAGCCTGTGCGACAGCATGCCATGAGCATCCCCAGTGTTTCTCATATACCTATGTCCATTCTGGTCACTGTGTTTTCGTTCCGTCCATGCGACTAGGCGCGCAAAAACCTGCCACCGAAGACACGTCGCTATCAGCCGGGTGGGACCTGGAGAAAATTAAGCAATTCCGCGATTCCCACAAATGCCAGAGACCTCAGTGGGTGAAGCCAAGTACGGGCCGCATTTTTTGACGCATGCATATGACTACCTACCCTTGCTGCCGACAGCATATTCCCCTAACATCGGACGGACCTCGATCTATAGGCCCGATGTCTACAGCGGTGGTGAACAGTATCTCAAAAAATCCTGATTAGGCGTGGTTGCGACCGTAAATTTGTCTCAATGCTTAAGAGAACAGGAGGCTGGAGAAATGGTTGTGATATAGGGTAGAATGCCCAAGGCACACATCATCTATATTATGTATATTCGAAGGAGCTGATGTTCTCCATGACGCAGCGCCTGTTTAGTCCTAATCTGAATCTGCAAAAAAAAAAAAAAAGTTATAATTGAGAACCTGTAAATTGCTGTGCAATATCTTCTGGAAGCAGACAGTGGAGTTAATCCCATGACCTGAGAATGTGTAAACTCAATAATCGCAGGTCATCTGCCTTCCTGCCAGTTGTCGACTTTCAGATCGGTTCATGACATTGGTGTACCCACTACCCAGGTTACCGGAAGAACATTGCCTAACTAATTGGATAGAGATCGTTCTAATGAAGTAATTTCAGGGGCAATTTATGCGGGGTACTCCACCGGGGACACAAGCTCATTGGAGGAATAATTCCAAGGCCTTGAATTATCCGGGGATGAAGCCTCAGAAAGCTTGGGGAATCCTAGGAGGATCTATAGACCATTCCTTCGGCTCCACGAAGGAAATAGCTTCGTTTTGACTTTATCCGCACTTTTCCCAGGACTCTTTATCAAGGGACCAGTTTCCCACCGAGACGACTGTGCAATTGCTTGATTGTAAGACAATAAACAAAATGAGGCTATCTTCCGCTCTTCTTGCCCTTGGCTTGCTCCCTGAAGCTTTCGGAAAGGACACTCGACCTGCAGAAACATACAAATCCTGCCAAAGAATCACGCCTGATCCTCTTCAGGGCTGCCCCCACGGCACTCTCTTTGTCAGCCAGACCGACGACCGAGCTCATTTCAAGTCTATCCAGGCGGCCATCCACTCGCTGCCCAATGATACCTCTTGCCAGGTCATCCTCATCGGCGCTGGAACCTATGTGGAGCAGCTCAATGTGACACGGTCCGGACCTCTCACGCTCCTGGGCCAGTCGAATCGCCCCTGGCAGCGGGAGAGCTATGGCGATATCGACACCAACACCACCGTCCAGAACGAGGTTCAGATCTACTGGAACGCAGCCAACCACAATGCCGCATTCCCGGACAATGTCTACACCGGCGTTCTAACTGTCGGTCCCACTTATAACGCGACCATTACCGGTGCAGGTCCAACAGGATATCCGGTGCCTGCCAACACCTCTTTTGGATGCTCCGACTTTCGCGCATACAACATCGACTTTCGCAACGAGTTTGTTCCATATGCATATGGACCTGCCCACGCCGTCGGCTTGGGCTATGCAAACGCAGGATTCTACTCTTGCGGTCTCTACAGCTACCAGGATACTGTACGTTGTTGAAGAATCTTGACAGGTCAGCGCTGACGAATACAGTTGTACGTGGGAAAACTTGCCAATGCTTACTTTTACGACAACGTGATTGCGGGCCAGACCGACTTTCTCTACGGCTTCGGCACGGCATTCATCGAAAAGACAACCCTCTCCCTGCGCCGATGTGGTGGCGGCATTACGGCCTGGAAGGGCACCAACACCACTTTCGAGAACAAGTACGGTGTCTACATTGCCGATTCCCAGGTCATCGCAGCCAATTCATCTATTGCAAACGACATCAAGGGAAAATGCTCGCTGGGACGCCCCTGGAATAACATCCACAGATCAATCTTCATGGACACATACTTGGACTCCAGCATTTTACCTGCGGGATACACGGTGTGGAAGGGAGCGCCCAACAACAACTTCATCAGTGAGACCTTGATGGCGGTGTACGGTGTCTACGGGCCTGGATACAATCAGACCGCGGAGACGAATGGCAATGTCACCCAGATTTTGAACAGAAAGCAGGTGGAGCCATATGCTCGTCCCATTGATGTGTTCATGACTCCCGATGGTCATCAGCCCAACATTGCCTGGTTGGATCCGATCGCGGCGAGCACCGGAAGGCCTTAGACCCCATGGCTGGATGGCATGATGGTAATCAGCAACACATCACATCCCACAGAACAGTCTTCTGGATTGGGTAGATTAGCTGAAGCGCAAAGTTAGCTTTTGTCACTGCTGTTATAGTCTCACTTCCCTCAATGTACCCTTATTTTTACGAGTCTGAACCAATTTCTACTTTGATATGAGTCAAAAAATGTCCCGTGTCTCCAGCGATGATAACGACAGCTTAGCTACCTGCCGTGGCTCCGACTTGCATCCGCCTTGTCTCCGAGTAGAGGCCGACTTGCATCGCCGTAGCCAATGAGAACGGAGGAAAGCTCGTGTATCCGTCCATCTGTCTGCCAGACCCCCACATGGAAATATGTGGGGTAAAGCAAAATTCCCCAGATCGTGGTGCATCAGAAGGGTCCTTGACCCGTCTGGCGCATCTCCAGAGCAGGATGGACCTCGCGATATGCAGATACACTGAATATAAATAGTGCCATATGTCTCGAGATCTCATGCATGCCTCCAACTGCAGCCAGGCTCGTCTAGCACTCGAGTGTGCTTTGCTGGCCGTCTTGCTAAACATTTAGTTGAGACATGACCATGTCCAACGATCCAGATGCTATGGAGGGAGAAAAGCCTCGACCTCTCGTGGAGGGCAAGAAAGCCGCCCGCAAAGAACAGTCCATGACGCTCTGGCAAGCGGTTCGCTTGTACCCCAAGGCCGTGGGCTGATCTGTCCTCCTGTCGTCGACGCTCATCATGGAAGGATATGATTTGGCCCTACTTGGCTCCATGTACGCGTCTCCAGCATCCAATAAGAAATTTAGGGTGCAGTCCACATCCGGCAAATGGACGGTCCCCGCCTCGTGGCAATCGGCACTCTCCAACGGGGCCCGAGTGGGCGAAGTGATCGGATTGCTCATCAACGGCCTGATTTCGGAACGACTGGGATACCGCTGGACAATGGTTTCGGCGCTGGCGGCAATGGACGCGGTCATATTCGTCTTCTTCTTCGCTGTCGATGTCAAAATGCTGCTCGCTGCAGAGATTCTGGCCGGTATTCCCTGGGGCATCTTCCAGACTTTGCCCGCCGCATATGCCTCTGAAGTGTGTCCGGTTGTCCTCCGTCCGTACTTGACGACCTTTATCAACATGTGCTGGGTGATTGGGCAGTTCGTCGCGGTGGGTGTGAATCGCGGATCCATACAAGAACCGACCAGTGGGCGTACCGGATTCCCTTTGCGGTGCAGTGGGCATGACCACTCCGGATCCTCATTGGAATCCTCTTCGCACCCGAATCACCCTGGTGGCATGTCCGACGGGGTAACCTCCAGGGTGCTAAACGGGCCCTGCAGCGGCTTACTTCATCCACCGATCCGAACTTCGATCCTGACGAGACAATCGCCATGATCCAGCATACAAACGAGCTAGAAAAGACACTTGCGAGCGGCACAAAATACACCGATTGTTTCAAGGGGACGAACCTGCGCCGAACAGAAGTTGTCTGCGTAGTTTGGCTGGTCCAGACACTGTGCGGGCAGAACCTCATGGGCTACTTTGCCTACTTTTGCGTCCAGGCTGGTCTCCCGACGGTGCGTTCCTTCGATCTCTCACTGGCACAGTATGCCCTCGGTTTCATTGGGACCGCGGGGTCATGGTTCCTAATGACCTACACCGGTCGTCGCACACTGCACGTCTGCGGTCTGGCAAGCTTATTTACCCTGCTCGTCATCACAGGTAGTCTTTCCTTTGCGCCGGGAGATGAAGTGCAGCGAAGTGGGCGATCGGTGCGATGTTGATCATCTTCACCTTCTGCTACGACTTTACTATCGGACCCGTGACGTATTCGCTGGTGTCGGAACTGTCGTCCACCCGACTCAAGGCCAAGACGATCGTGCTGGCGAGAGTCGGATACAACATCAGTAATATTGTTGTCAACGTGCTCACAAACTATCAGCTCAACTCGACGGCTTGGAACTGGGGTGCCCGCAGCGCATATTTTTGGGCGGGAACATGTCTCGTCTGCTTGATCTGGTCATACTTTCGCCTACCGGAGCCCAAGGGAAGAACTTATGAGGAATTGGATCTGCTGTTTGAGCAAGGAGTGTCGGCGCGCAAGTTCAGAGACACAGTAGTTGATCCATACGAGGGCGAGGAGGAACACCTGGAGGTGCGAGAGGAGCGCCATAAGGACTAGTTCGGATTCTAAAATATATATCCATTATCTATTACTCTTTGAAATCAAAGTAACCAATGTACAGACACTCTTCTGTGGCCTGATCCATCCCTGCATAGCGTTGGATTAGGCCTTACGCTGGCCCCACTGGTCCCTCGCCTGTTATTTAATCCCCGCTCATCCTTGACTTCTCCTGGATCGATTCTCTACTGGATTTTTGCACAGAATTAATCTTCAAGACCGAATAATCGGCATGGCCTCCGGACTCATCTTCGATCCCCTCCAGCTACTCCGCGTCGCGCCATTAGCCACCAGCACAGGCAGCCTCGTGCATGCCCTGGTCGAGCTGTTCTCCAACTCGGCCTTCCTCCAACCGTCTATCCGGAAATCCTCCGATGCTGTCTTGCCAAAATGGTACACCCACATCTTCAATCGCCAGATCGTTTCCGTCCTTGCCCTTAATCTAGCCACCATCTCCACCGGTGTATCGAATATTTTGCTGAGTCGGTCGCGCAGTGCCCTGCCCCTGTCGCGCACAACGTTCTACTGGGCCGGCGTTGCGGGTGCGGTAGCGCATCTCTTCTTCGTGCCGTTTGTGGCGCCTCGGATTCAACGTATAGTCGAGGACAGCAATGAGAATGGAGCAACGGTGGAGATGGAAGAATGGTTGGGATTTCATCGCATTAGGATGTTAGTTGCAGATCTACCAGCCTGGCTGGCATTTGCGGGAGCTGTCATGGTGGTATAATCATCTATTATAAATGGGATATGTATAGAGTCTTCATGGCAAACTGTTCCCAAACGCGTGCGAATCCAGCACGACCATCTATAGACAGCGGTAAAGTGTTTGGCAAAAGCCATTCCTACTTCGCGTTAACCTGTTTTGAAGCCCAAGATAGCTCTTTCTTTGGTTCAATCAGCATTAATGTCTTAAGGATCAAGTCCAACCACTGTAATCTTTGGCCGCTAAGGCCAGTTACTCGCCCTATGTGCCCTGGACTTAGGCCACACTACCTTAACATTAGGTCTCCTTTCATTGCCTTTATATGGTTCAATCTTGGCGTGGGGTGACTCGGGAAACCCCCATATTTTCTCCGTTTTCAATCCTCTCCGCAATTCCTCTTCAATCATGCAACTAGCAATCAGACGTAAAAGATGCCCCGCGACACGCAGATGGTCAAGCAAGCCTGCGATGCGTGTCGACGTCGTAAAGTCAAATGCAACGCCCAGAGACCTTGCAGCCAGTGTCGATCAGCCGGGCTAAGCTGTCGAACATCGCTGGTCCGACAGAAGAAAGGACGGCAAGGCCAGTCGGCCAACGTTCTCTCTGAATTACGCACACAGAATGCTCCAGGCAATGAGCCATCTAACTCTGCGATTCAAGCTCCAACAGTGGCTACTCCTCTTGCGAATACAACCAGCGGACGATGTCGATTTGGGCGCAAGGAAAGTCTCCTTCCTAGGGAGCTGATCCGGGATTGCTTCGAGTACTTCTTCGCGCGCATGCAAGGTACAGTTCCCATTCTACAGGGGGAAACCTTCCAGAGATATGTGGAGCACATGGATCATTGTATCCATACCTATTGCTTGGTGGTTTCCTTCTGTGCCTTTGTCATGATGCAGACAGGGTATTCCTCCTCCCAAGCCACAGGCTCGAGATGGGCCCAGAGTATCGACGCCGGGTGCGAATTGCTTGATGAAGCGACAGAAGCGCGGAGGCATCTTGATCCGCTCACTGTTCCTGTCCGGCAGAGCATCACCACCGCCTTTCTTCTGTACGGCTGTCATATCGCGTTGGGGAATCAGCGCCACGCGTACTATTACCTACGGGAAGCCACCACCTTGTACACGGCTGGCATGCTGGGTACTCAATCAGGTGCGTTAGACGGCGATGAAGACGATTCGTCTTTGTCTGGCAACCTGTTCTGGCTGCTTCTGATTTCTGAACGGTACTGTCCCTCGGCGACTCCTGTAGGATAGTCCTAATTTGAACAGAGCCCATGCCATTCGAAGGCACCGGCCCGTCACCCTACAGGTCACCGCCAACAGTCCAACTCTGGAAGATGCCTCACCTCAAGACCCAACCAGTATTGGATTTCGCTGTCTGGCTGACCTCTATCGCCCGTTCGACGAGTCTTTCCTGGGGCTCTGGAACGGTACGCATGCCGCATGCTCTCGCGGGTCGCTCATTCTTCTCGACAAACATATTTGTAATGCGGTTCCCCCCGACCTCGAGCTTCCCGATATCCCCATGGCGGACCTCCGTGTCTCACAGCAGTGGTTGCGAACCATGATCTGGCAATTATCCACCACTGCGGGCTTTCTGTCCAGCAAAGCCAGCCATCCGTGCATGGAATTTCGGTATCCGTTACAGATTGCCCGAGACCTCTCCTTGGCGACGTGGAAGCTGTCAACGCAAAGTATGGAAACGCATGGGATTGGACTGGTTGGTAAATCCTTCCCTTCCGTCCAGAACCGTGCTGATTAGCTGGGACAGATTGAGAAAATCTTCGAAGTGACCTGCACCCTCACCGATGTAATGGCTTGTCTATTGACCGCGGGACTGCGCTCGTTGGGGTTCAACCTGGGGCCGCAGGACTACTTGAAGCATTTCTTCTCGCTTGTGAACACTCTCCCTGGTGGATGACAGCGGTTCCTGCCATTGCTGTTAACAAAGGTGGGACAGACTTTGCCGTCCATGCTGCAACCCATCACGCAGCACCTCAATCTCCCAGCAGTGACCGTGGAACCTCTTGTGCCGGCTGAAAAGGCTGACTTGGAGGGCTTTGGTGACACGTGGCCGGATGACCAATTGTACAGTGACTTCAACTACGCTGAGATGAGTCAGATTGGCGACAAGACGCTGGAAATCGATGAAGCGTTCATGCAGTATCTGCAATTGAGTCCTTGATATCCTATATGGATAGCGCTTGTAACATCAAGCGACAAACAAAGCTATACAGGAGCGGACATAAGAGAGATAATCAAGCTAGTAAAAAGCAACGTCACATCCATCTCTACACTAATTGCTACACTACCATGGTTTTCCTCTCTTTCCGTCGCCAAAGGCACTGCAGTTAGCATATTCACTGCTGTGGTAGCCGGCGAGGGCACCCAAGTCGCACCGGGAACCGCATCCTTGCCTGTCCCGATTTCGAGGATGGCATCCTCCCCGGGATTGAAGTTTGTGTTGGCCATCGAGATCTCGCGATTAGCTAAATCAAAGACGACATACGTGCTACAGAGAAAAGTATCGCCCAATACAGGGATTCCACTGGTACCTATATAGATGCCGAACACGCACATCACAGTGTCTCCGTCCGTATCAATCCCATTCAAAACAAGCTCGTGGATATTGACATTGATACGGATACCAGAGAAGCTGAACGTCAGAGTGATATCCCTGTCTTTCATGGAGCACGGGAGAACCGGAACATTGTACACAGCGTTGTGTGTGACTCCCAGACTGGAGTAGATCTCTGTGGTGAGCGATTTGGGTAAATAAGTCACGCTTGCTCCTGAATCGATGGTGACAAGAAGTGGAAACTCGGTATCGGGATACTTGGTCGTGTTTGACGCGCGCTGTTGCAAAGCGAGCCCGGCCAATATGACACGCAAGAATGTGTACACGCCGCCAGCGGGCTGGAGTGGAATTGTCTGCAGCTGTCCTAGATACTTTGCCGTGTTCACGCCTCCAAAGAGAATCGTCCCACTGTGCGAGGTTACATCCTCCATCCAGAGACTGTATGTGGCTGACTTGATGTGACCAGCTTGCACCAGAGCTTGAGGAAAGTTGGAATACTCAGTGCGAGTAGCTTCGATGGCAGGAAATGCAAGACCCAATGTTCCTCCTGCGTTACAGTCAGTGCATGATCTGGGCCTGTATAGAGAAGCGTACGATTTGAGGCGCTCTGCTCTGCTATGCCAAACTGGAATTGACTCAACATCACTCCCCCAAACTGAATAGTATCCTTGACATAGTCCCCCGTCGCCTTCGTCCCGTCATTATACGTGATGTTGAACTCGTGGTTGACGAATGTGTAGGTTCTGGATGAGCTGTTGTCATAGATCCCATACCGTTCGCAGTCATTTGCCATGTTCTGGCAAAAGTTCGACAACGGAATATTAAACCAGGTGTCGCTGCTTCCAGTGTCCAGTACCACGGCGATCTCTTGCTTTGAGCTGCCAACGGTGACATTGACTGTGTATAGCGTCATGGCATCCTGTGACGTTAATTTCGGGTGTCAAAGTGAACTCAAAGCGACATACCTCATTCAGTATCCCTTCAGATAGTATCGAGTTGCGCCTCGACGCAGAGCGATGTATTTCGAGAATGTCATCGTTCCGTTGTCGCTTGAATCGAAGCTCAACAACAGCCGGGCTATCTCCTTTGCCAAGAGCAATGGCATTGCTTGTCTCAAAAAAGAAAGAGAGCAAGGACAACAGTCCCTTCCTCATTATGTATATTCTCTAGCTATAAGCATGGTGCACTGGCATAGGCCACTACATATCTCATGGCCGACTGGAATCTACGTCTGAACCGATTTCCGGCGCAGCGTCCAAAAGTGTCCAAGGCAATCAGGGGATTTTCAGCCTCGCCAGGCAGAACTAGTCAATGTTACATCGTGCTCATAGTCATTATAGAGACAGGCTAAAGGGGGGAACCAACATGTATACTTGATCTCATTGGGAATTAGATGCGGCGCAATATAAGATGACACTAAGCGAAATGACACTAAGCTCACTGCCCCTGGGAGATCGGGACATCGGTCTGTAATCCCATAGGTCAGTCATTAACTCGTCGAGTCAGTTTGGGTCACGATATTCATGGGCAGTTGTTCTTCCCGACACGGAGGTTGCACGCTTATGATGGTCAAAGAAAGATCATGCCGACCAGAAACTTAAGTAACATAACTAGCAGCCAAGGAGAAGATACTCTCCAGTCACTCCGCACACTTCAGTGAATGACAGTGCCAGAGATTACAGTGATTACCCAATGTCTCTATACTTGCACGGAGATTCATCGGCGGCAGTCTGGATTCGGCTCCGACTGTCGATCCACCATCTGGAACCGATCCTGCTCGCAATAGTTGCCGGTGATACCGACAAGGTTCAAGCCCTGAACGCCAGTGAGAGTGTTAGATACTTTACACTGGCGGGTCATGGCATCCACCCGGAAGATTGAGGAGATGTTCAGCACCAGAGAGGTACTTCCCGCCCGACAAGATCAAGCTACAGGCCCATGTAAACGAAAACAACGTCGGATGGGAGAAAGTCTCACAGATCCATCCTTCAACAGCTGAACAGATACTACGGAGTCGCATCAGCTGCAGTTCGGAGGGAACATGGCCAACCTGTGGATCATCAATAAGCACTGGCGTTCATGCACCGCATGCAATAGGTATCGGAACAGTCGATGCGCTGTTTTGTTTGAGGACAGGGATTTGACGAGCACTTCTTGATCAAATGTCATGATATTACTCGCCCAGTAGAGAAGACCACCATGCATCTTAACTTTGCTCAACCTGAAGAGCGGACAGAAAGACATATTACCAGGCCTGTGCGCATGCTGACTGGGACTTTTCGACTCTTTTATTTTAGAAAAAGGATAGAGTATGTTTGAAATCCTTCCGGGTCCAGCAGTGGCCATCGACCTTAGAATCGGCTCGATGACCGGCTCAAGTAAATCGTGCAGCTGTTGTTAGTACCTTTTGACGGGATGGATTGTTTATTACTTCGTTTTCAAATCTGGCAGCAAACTTGTGTCATTGATAATCTAGTTCTGTCCGTCGTATCTGATGTGTGGAGGCAGGATATCGTTAATACTTGGAGGCATTGCTTTCCCGTAACAGTCTCTAATCTTCAGCTCCAGCTTGGTAAGGTTGATCCGAGAGGAGCTCGATGGCCAATGCTCTTCGGGTTCTTCCTATTAACGCTGAATATCTGTTAGATATCGAATATCTTTGTTACTACGGTCTTATATCGGAGAATGCCATGCAACTTCACTGCTCACAGCTGGGAATCGGAGATCTCCCTATAATTCATGTCCATTACCTCTTATATCGGTATATCCCTTATAATCTTCACAAAGCAGACCGAATTCACTTGCTGCAGTAGCATCCACGTGATATGAGTATAAATCTATATAAACTGTCTTCATCTACCTGCTTCCTTCTCTTCTCTTCCCTCTATCTTACAGAGACATAACAGTAGCAAAATGACTCCTCCCACAGACGCAACTGTCATGATCTCATCTCCTCCCGTTCATCACGATGTGGACATTCATGAAGCATCCCCTCAATTCTCATTCAATGTGCTTCCATTAGAGTGTCGACAGCAGATTTTATGCGCCCTTCCAGATATTGAATCACTCAAATCCGCCATACTAAGCCATTCCTCCTTGTACTCGGCTTTTTACAATCACAAGACTGCGATCATATTGCAAATCATTCAACGCCACATACCCAGAGAGCTACTCGCATACGCTGTCCTGTGCTCCCACGCAAGGAATATCGAGCCATGGACAAGGGCAAAAGTCCTCGATATCCTAGACATCTACTTCAACCGTTGCCTGGTCGACTCGTTCCATTGGACGATAGGAGCGGCTCTGGCTCTGGTGACGTTTCATGAAAGTGTGACCTTTTTCACCAATGATTATATCGATAACGCCCTGGGTCTCGTCGCACCTTTGAACTTCCCCATCCACGCACCGTCTGAGACCGAGTGGTGTCGTGTCGCGAGAGCATTCTACTTACAGGAGACGATCAACCATCTCTTCTGCTTCCGGAACCGACAAGAACGCTGGATTAGTGAGGGCGTCAAATATGCACGTCCATCGCCCTCTGAATTCCGGCCTCGGGAAAAATTTGAAATATTCTTCAGCAAGCACGCGCCCTGGGAGATGGAGCAAATCGGCGCAGTCAATGAGTACTTGTACTGGAAAATCTCACCAGGTATGTCTATTCCCTGCTGTTCCTCGTTTTTGTTCAGGTCGATCTCTCCTGCTGACTCTCTTCGTCACGTCTAGCTTTTAACCACATCGCAGCACACGACGTCGAGTTGGGTTACTATACCGTCTACTTCTCGGACAGCGAGACATGGGAGGCTGTTATGGGAAGCCCACACAAGAGGGGTTTTGTAAGTAAGCTCTCAGTGCCACAATCCGACATAATTCTAACTGTTTGACTAGCTGCTGAAAGGACTGGCCCCCCTTCATCGATTTGTGGCAAGAGCCAACCACAACAGCCGCCTCGGGCTCATCTCGATTCGCAACTCGCGTTGCTCAAACTGGCTTTTGGTCAATGAACTTGAGTTCTCGCAGAAGTTCGCTGTGCAGGGCTTTGAGTCTACGTTCTACAGAGATCTCACACCTGGACAAATTGCCGAGATCGTGGGCAAGGCGTTTGCGGACGACAGCGACTCTGGCCCCCGTCAGGCATGGCAATGGGCCCACCGCGATACGCGTTGCTATCAATTAATTTGTTCCAAGGACCATCGTGAGCTTCGGCGATTTGGATATGTCATGTGGGACAACCAGCGTCTCCAGCAGTGGGCAGCTCTGGGGGCTTCTTTCCAGGCGCCTCAGCCAGACGATGACAGTCAGGCGGGCAGACGCTGGACGGCTATGTGGCCCTTCATCGAAAAAAGACGAAGGATGTACGAACATGGGGCGCGAGGATGGTGGGACGGGGAAGATGGGGAAGGAATAAGATGGATTCATGGGGCGAAATCACCCGAAACCCAGCGGAGACTGTTGCAGTAGCTGAAAATTGATCACTACGGGGTGTTGTCGATGGAATCTTAATCTCGTATTTTGAAGTCACATGGTGATGTCTTAAAGATAATGTTGGTATACAATGGATGACTCTAACTAGTAGGCAATAGCACATCTCCAGCATTTGAGTCTCTGATCAATGACAGCTATGATGTCCCTTTGCAGGCTGTGCCCGTTGGCTATACTGCGACCAAGCTAATAGACATGCACAAATAATTGCTCGACGTAGGTTGCTCTTGTTGAGGCCTTGTCGACTGATGCTCCACGCCAGGGTTAAGACGGAGACGGCCAAGAAGAAGGGACGAAGTTTCTGAATGCCTGCTGCGGTCACTGAACCCGCAAAGACAAAGTCTAGAACTGTCTGTCTAGCAGTTAGTTGAGGGCTCGACTATAGTCATGTGTTGGAACGAACTGGTAACCAGCAGCACGAACTGGACAGCAGTGCTGATCCTTCAGGGAGAACCGCTGACATCCACCGAAGGGCACGGGCAGTGAGACCCTCGTTTGTGGAATCGGACTGTGAGGGTTTCTCGGAGGAATGGCAATTATGGCACGACATTTTGATCTTTGATGCAATTAAACTGCCGACCGAATCAGAATCCTCTGGAATTGATGTTGGGTTCTTATAATGTGGCCAGCTGTTATTTCCGGCCTAGCGAAGTTTGATATCCAGCGCGAAAGAATTGCCAAATCGGGTTAAACAACGCGATAGTCTCTCATACTACGGACGGAGTAGAGACTGAGACTTGATGGATTGATGACCAGAGGTCATTTGATAGAGAGTATCCTTCAGATAATCTGACCGAAATGCTTGAGGCGGGAGTACAATTGCATATGTGTCTCCTGCCTGGACATACTCCATCCCTTTCTCAGCTACCCCTTGATACCAAGCTCGTCTTTTTGTCCGCGTTACAACTTACACATTACTCTAGCGAAAGCACTTGTTAGAGATTATAATCGAATAAGATTAATTTGATACAAATACACTATAGTACAGATAGACATTATAACTCGGGTATCTCATCATAGCTCATATGCAAAGCCCTTAATAATAAGCACGACGATGATGGCTTCCACGTCCATCGGTGCCATGCATGCGGCGAGTGCCAGCGGCCTATAAGACCAGTCAGCTTATCCTTTTAGACAATCAACAGCAACAATTATACCTTTACCGCCGGCCGATGTGTCAAAGCGCCTTTTAACTTCAGCATAGCTCCCGACACCTTGTCTCCCAGTGTGACCTTTCGGCGGTGGTGATGTACGGGAGCAGTGGCCTTGGTACGACCGTAGGCACCACTATGGCGGCTCGTGGTAGTCTTCGTCTTGACTGTCCGAGTGCGAGCATTAGGACCACGAAGACGAGTCAATAGACTGGGCTTGGAGGTACGAGTGGCGGTCGTGGTGGGACGATGACGACGGAACATTGTGATAGTTGTTGAACTTGTGGTAGATGTCTGATGGAATGGTTTGTGTAAGTATTTGGAACAGATGGCACAGCTTGAGACGATAATACTGAATGGTGATCTTTATCTCCAGATTGATGTGGTTTATATAATATCTTCTATCCTTTTGGGAGACATCATAGTGGGTGACACACAACGTATGCCAAGGGATCTACATCTTCCAGCAGGTAATATGACAGCCCTTGGCCTAACGCCCGCACGTCATTTGGGATCATCACTACGTCGGCCCCGGAGCTATATTAGTCGATCGGGGCTTAATTAGTGTACTAAGTTATAGACATGTAAGGATCAATATATTGCCCAGTGGCCACCTTTTGTTCATTGTTTCTTCGATATAGATGGGCTGAAATGACGTCATTGTGGCTGGTGACTACACTCCATTTCGCTGCATAGCTGCTAATAAGATGTGCTATGAAGTAATATCGTATACGAGGGTGTAGCGAATATCCCTCTGATTAGTAGGGATGGTGGGTAGTGGTAAAAGAGCTCTAGGCAGATGGATATGGATATACTACCTCTCCATAACTACTATTGAGCAGGGGAAAGTAGTGCCACAAAGAACACAAGAACATGTCTTATAAGAAATGCGTGACATGTTATAGAAGCTCATAGGGGATAGTACATTACAAGAAATGAAATAATGCAAATTACTCTAATGCTCTTTGAAACTATGTCTAAGAGCTTGTGCTGGTTTGACGCAGCTTTATACCTAACTCTTATTGTTCTGTTATGTCAATTGACAGAATACAGTAAACAAAGATTATGCGACGACTTATATGGCCATCTGCCGCTCTGCAAAGCATCAAAGTACCTCCTCATCGCATTGGCAATGACAATATCCCCTGTCACCCCTGAATCAATGAGCCTTTGCAGGTCTGGTTGAAAGACGCAATGCCCTACCGATCTCCAAAATAAGGTCACTCTTTCCGAGTATGCCTTCACTCGATAAAACGTCTTTGAATCTGTCGTCTGATAGGCACATCAGCGGATCGCCGATGTTGCAGAAAATATTCATTCATCACCGGCCCAAGAACGACTCTTGGGTCAGACACTGGCTGAGGGAAAGTAGATATGCAATCTACTGGAGAACAAGCATCCGGTTGATGGCGCATCCCTTCCAGTTTAGTGTTTATAGAGATGGATAAATGGCTCATTAGGACAGCTGGAGCCGATACTGATATTACTCAAGGCGAATGGAATACATCCCCCTCTGCGTCCAGCTCTCTTGAGCAAAACATCCAGAAATTCCCAGATTCATATTCCGTGATGTCTGGGAACCTGATAGAAAAGGAACACTGCAAGGGTGTTGTGAGATGATCCATGACTCTCAATATATTTCAGCCGCGATAAGTATTCTATGGATGGATATCCCAGTAAATCTTCACCCAATAATCCCTTTACAGTTGGATCTCTGTCAAATATCCTATCACTATGAGTGGTTTCTCTTTAACTGCGGAGGGAGTACCATTGTAATGTCTTTTGCGGGTAGTTGGTAGGTCCAACAACAACAATGTGTGTACATACACCATAACGCGAAATGTCGTCACCGTAGCAGATCCCAGTTAAACTGTCATTCAATGTCCAATAATATTAACTTATCCATCTACTTACAACGCAATTCCAGCCCAAGAGGCAAGAGAAGATCTAGTCTTGGTTGGAAGGAACAGCAACAGGTGCAGACGATGCTCCAATGTACACTGTAGGACCCATCACAGCTGCCTGCAGTTGACCCCTCAGCTCCCTTGTTATAGATGCTATGAATGTTATAAATACATGAACTGCGTCCTGAAGCTGCTCTCCATTACCTGATGATAAAGTTTCTGCACCCAATTTCATCAGTCAAATATTGAGTCAAGAATATCTGTCATTCGACCAGCATGCCCTCCTCTGCTCAGAACGTGGGCATCAAAGCCCTGGAGATTTATTTCCCTAGTCGAGTAAGTTCGCCCAGAGCATTGTCTCTTCTGTTGCGGTTGCTTAAGAAGCTCGGCTAACAGAAGTGCAGTATGTCTCTCAGACGGAGCTGGAGACATTCCTCGGAGCCAGTGCAGGGAAATACACCATCGGACTTGGTCAACAGAACATGAGCTTCTGTGATGATCGTGAAGGTAAGCAAACCATCCGATGGAGGAAGCATCAACAACTCACAGCTCAGATCTCTACTCTCTTGCCCTGACCGCTGTATCCTCCCTTCTTCGCAAGTACTCGATCGACCCAAATACCATCGGCCGTCTCGAAGTTGGAACCGAGAGTCTGCTGGACAAAGCCAAGTCCTGCAAAACGGTGCTGATGCAGCTGTTCGGCGACAACACGGACATCGAGGGCATCGACACATACAACGCCTGCTACGGCGGGACCAACGCCTTGCTCAATGCAGTAAACTGGGTCGAGTCTTCGGCCTGGGACGGCCGCAACGCCATCGTTGTGGCCGGAGATATTGCCCTGTATGAGACGCCAGCGGCGCGTCCCACCGGTGGTGCAGGCTGCGTGGCAATGCTCATCGGTCCGGACGCTCCTTTGGTGCTGGAGCCGGTCAGGGGTTCCTGCATGAAGCATGTCTATGACTTTTACAAGGCGGATTTCAAATCCGAGTACCCGCAGGTGGACGGGCAGTTTTCCAACACCTGCTACCTGGGTGCACTGGACGCATGCTACCAGCGGTATCAGGCCAAGCAGCGCGCACGGAAGGAGGCAAAGACAAATGGGACGGCCATCAGCAACGGTCACAAGGGTAGTTTCCTTGATACCTTTGATTATTTCGCTTTCCACGCGCCAAACTGCAAGCTGGTGGCCAAGGGATATGGCCGGTTGCTGTTCAACGACTTCAAATTAGAGCCAGGGTCGTTCGACGAGGTGCCGGCACAAGTCCAAGAAGCCGACTTTGCGGCTTCGCTGACGGACAAGGGTCTGGAGAAGCTGTGCGTCAGTCTCACCAAGGACCGATTCGTCGAGCGCGTCGAGCCGTCATTGACCGTCCCGACTAACTGCGGCAACATGTACACCGCCAGTGTATATGCGGGTCTTATCAGCCTGATCAGCAATGTCCCCAGCGACCGACTGCAGGACAAGCGCATCGGCCTGTTCAGCTACGGGAGCGGTCTGGCTAGCACATTGCTCAGCTTCCGTGTCAAGGGCGACACCACCGAGATAGCTCAGAAGATTGGCTTGCATGATCGCCTGAGCGCTCGAACAGCAGTGTCGCCTGAATTCTATGATCAGGTGAGTTGGTTATGATGTTCGTTTCTGATCAACGCTGACTATGTAGATGTGTAAACTCCGCGAAAAGGCATATCAGCAGAAGAACTACACTCCCGAGGGAAGTGTCGAGAGCCTTGCCCCAGGAACCTACTTCCTGGTGCATGTGGATGATGCATATCGACGAAAGTATGACATGAAGCCATACCTCTCTATGTGTGAGGATCAGCACGGACAAGTTGTTTAAATCAAGTCATAGTCGAGCGCGAGTAGGACAATGAGATGAATTACTTTGAGGATTCTGTCATCCAACATGACTGGCCAATAGGA